AAATGAGCAAAAAAAAAATTAAAAGAAAGAGTTTGTTTAGACAATCACGAATGATGTAACCTTAATAATTAGTAAGTCAGATGACATACTTCAATGGTCGTCGTTCAATGATTCATCATATTTTTAGCAATGCTGACTAAAATCCTTTTTCTCTTCTTCTCATTATCCTTTTCATTATTTATTTCTTTTCTAAAATTTTGTTAAAATTCACATGAATTTCATTTCTCATCATTAAAGATGATTTAATTAATATCCGAAATGCTTCCGGTTATTAGATGGGTAATGAAAAGAAAAAGGGAAGAGATGCAAAAAAGCTAAGTAATAGCTTATAATTATCAAAGTAAATCATGCGAAAGAAAATTTGATATGTCGTGATCGTAAAGCAGAAATTATTAATAAATCAAAATTTAATTTTTTAAGATATTTGTGATGGATACGATCATTTATTCAATTTTCTTTAGCTAAACAAACTTTGTCAAAAAAGATTGGCAATAAAAAAGAAACATTTCATTACTTTCATGTGCTTTCTCATATCAATTTATCAATCATCTTCACTTGTTCCTTATCATTTATCAATCATTCAAGTTTATTTATCAAGCTTATTCTCATCTTAAAGCTTTTATCTTCACAAAATCTATTTAATGAGTTTTGATTTGTTTCAAATATGATGAAGTAAGAATAGAAAAAATCAAATAATAGTTATTCGTTAGATTATTACTGAATAACATATCGCTTATTATTGAAAATGCTAATTTCCTGATAGTTAATCCGGAAAAAGAATTATCAATCGAATTTCCTATTCTTTCCCATTGAAATTTCATTAAATTCATATTTTAAAAGTAACGTTCTTTATTCATTTCAATAAAGAAATCATTTTATTTTTGCTTAAAATTTAATTTATATAGCATTTGGAGAATTTCTACAAAAATGATTATTGTTATTATTAAAATCATAATATATCTATTAAATTAATATTTTGATAATTCTTTTGTGACGGATCTCTTCCAAAAACATTTTTTTTAAGAATGAAATTTTTAATTAATTAATTGATATTTAATTTTCTTTTATTTCATATATTATCTATACATTTTCATTGTTTCCACTAATAAGGTTTTGCATATTTCTCCAACATTTTGTGGAAAAAAGATCAACTTCGATCAAGTTTGCCATTATTATTAAACATTGTAATTTTCATAGATTACAAAAAAGTTTTTCAAAATTTCGTAATTTCATAATTTAGATCTTTTTAGTAACTTACATTTTATAACTTCGTTCTGTGGAAAATTTGCAAGAAATAAAAAAAGAGAAAGTTGTCAATTGAAATAATTTGCACCGCTTATTTTACCAAATATTTCAGATGAAGAATCCTAATTCTATTTCATTTCGATATTAGTATTTTATTATTTAGGATTTATTGCTGCTGTCGTATTTTTCCGATAAATTACGCTTAGCAAAATTATTTTATTCTAATGTTTATATTATAATTAATTTAATTATACAACTTTACAATTCAAAGAAATACTTTTTTAAAATTAAAAAAAGTATTTCGATATATTATTTTTCGATTAATATAGTGCGAAGATAAATAAACAGAAATAGCATTTAAATGACAATTTTTTTGTGATGTAAAAGTAAAAATTTCAAGTGGAAATTCGAAATTGTAATATTAATGTTTTATTAATATTATAATTATAATCACGTATATAATATCATCATTTCCTTGCGATAGCAATAACAAAAAGAAGAAAATAATGAAGAGATTCATTTGTCGTTAAATGAATTTTATTTAATTTTAATTTCAGTTTTCAAATTCGATTTCAATTTCAACGATTAATTTAGCATTAAAAAACGAGACTCACTTATCATTAAATAAATTTCAGTTTATTTCAACTTCAATTTTCAAATTCGATTTCAGTTACATGAAATTTCAACATATTTCATTTTTGTAACTGCCAAATGAAGAAATGAAATGCTATCACCTATTGACAACAATATTATTGTATGGTTTTGCTCGAGGACTATGACATCGTGTCACAACCATACAAATAACACTGACCCAAATGACCAATGCGATCATACCAACTAATAACCATAATGCCCACCATGCGCGTCGATAAGCTGCTAACTATAATTACTTTTATTGTTTTCATTATTTGTTTAAAAGTATCACTTAATTATTTTAATATTTAATTTAAAAATATTGTTTAATATTTCAATGACCAAAAATATTAAAGTTTTTGCTCCATAATATATCAATGAACGTGACGTTTTTAAAATATTAATACAAAATCATTTCAAAAATTTACAAAATTTAATCAATTTAATAAAAAGACCTGCAATCGTTCATCGGCAGTTAATTCTTCACTTAACGTTTGCACAGGTTTTTCACGTAATGATAATTTTTCTAAAAGTACCGCTTCTTTATTCCAAAAATTTGTTACAGGCCAATGTAAAGTACCAATCGCTTTCCTATAATTAATTCATTATATTTAAGTTATTTTATTTTTAATTATTGAAATGAATATTTTCTCACACATATTCACACATTATCAGAAATTTTATATCTTATAATAAAATTGTTTTCTTATGAATAAAATATTTTTGAAAATCATTTCGATTAAAAATGAATATAAATGGTAAAATTATGATAATAATGTCGTGCCTTCTGATAATTTCATAATAATATCATACTTTCTGATAATTTTATGCTAATTTCGTACTTTCTGATAATTTCTTACTAATTAAAATCATCGCAAAAATTTTTTAATTCATATGATAAGATTTATATCATTCTTCGGCATTTATATATAATAAAAAAATTAATTTGAAAATAATGCAAAAATTGAACTTGGGAGGTAAATCTAAAATTGCATATTGAGCAGATTGATTTGTAAATGGTGTCCATTTAAAACCATTCCATTCAGTTGGTGTTGGTTGTCTGTAATATTTCCATGGCAATTAATTGAAGGAGCAGAAGGAAGAAACAATTCAACGTAGTAATTAGTAATAACAGAATATTAGATATTTTAATAAATGAATGACAAAAAAGTTTTACCGAAAGAAATTTTCTTTCAGTATAAAAAATTAATGTATAGAATGGTATTAATGTATTATTATGTATAATAATATATTAATTAAAAATTTTAATTTGAATGAATGAATTGTTTATTATTTTATATATTTCATATATTATGGCTTTAATTTCATTACAAAATAATTTCTAAAAAAAAAATAAACCCATATTTGGCAAAATTTGTAATCATTGTTGAAAGCATTTTAGCCATTTGTTGATCTCTTTTAGTGAATGGTTCAATAAATAAATTATTACTATAACCATTTGTAAATATATATGCATGATCCAAACCATGAAATGCTCTTGGTTGACCATTTCCTATAAAAATTAGGTATTGAATTTAATTTAATAAAATTTTCAGTTATTTATTTTATATTATTTGATTGTAAATGAATGAAACAATAATTGAAAAAGTTTGCTATGATCTCTTTTCTAATTGATTTAAATTTCTATGCTCTAGAAAACCTTTGTTAAATTAAACATTCGATATTTTGATTTCTAATTTTTTTCATTTATGATTCAGAATCCAGCTAGTTACCTATGAAAAGCTTTCCCATCCTAATTTACTTCTTTTTCCTTCAGTATTTCAGTACAATATTTGTTGATCATGTCATTTGCGGGCAATTTATTTTAATAATTTCTAATTGAGAAAATGTTTCAGCATTTGTTCCATTTGATAATTTAACCTAATTAATTAATTAATCTATCGCCCTCATTAACGATAACAATTCATTGCAATCTTTTTAATCTGTGAATTTTTACATTGACTAAAAATTATTTTAAAAAACAAAAAATTCGAAATATCCTAATTCATCGTTAAATATAAGAAGTTTAATAATATTAATTTTCCGTGATATCTCAGTTGCTATTTATTTTCTTTTGAAATAAGTAAATTGAAATAATTGGAAGAATACGTTGTATTTGAAGTTCTTTTCGTTTTACTTTAATTGTTTCTTTGCCAAAAATGGTATATCTTTTCTGTTCTTCCTCATAAATTGGCGATTTTGGGAAATAATTGAATGAATATGCATAAACAGGTATGCCATTTTCCACGTAACTATCAATTTCACGCTGCGCTGGCGCTACAAATTCGATATCCGCCTCTAACTATACAAACTTCTCGTTAATTATATCAATTCAATGTAATATTATGCTTATTTTATAAATTTATATTTATAAAATAATTTATTTTTATAAAGTTTGCAATTACCAGCTTCACATAAATGTTTTTGATTTTTTGACAAAATTATTGCAAATTTCAATTTTGTAAGTAAAAGAAGCTTTTGGTAATAATGAAAAGAATAAATTAAAAAGTCGTACATCTTGCAATCCGTGAACAACACGTGTCAAAATACGATTATTTTCTGGCGTATCAATATACCTAAATGAATTATTTCAAATTTGTTGAAAAAGAAAAACAAAAATTTTCATATTTTTCTTTGTGTAAGTTTTCCGAGAGTGAATTTTATCCTTGAGTACGAGCAAAAATCAAACGAAGTTAAATAATCGTAGTATATATACTACTCAAATAAAATTTTTAGTGCAATGAAAAGGTCTTGACTGATTAGCTAAATGATAATGTTACCTTAACAATTGGAATAAAATTATTATCACCAGTCAGAATACGAATAGTTATCAGTGGAATAATTTAGGAAATTTATAATTCACACTGTTTAATGCGTGAATTATAAATTTAAGCAATTATTGAGAATATTAAGTTATATTAATTGATCGGACAATCGAGGGTGTTGGAAAAGTATCGAAGATCCAAACAAATTAAATACGATAAGCTATGAATACCTTAAAAAGCTAGCATTTGCGATAAGTTCCAATGTTGAATTATGAAGTCTTTTTGCGCAACCGGTATGATAGTGTTCATTGATAATTTTACGAATATTATTATTGCAATCCTCAATTGAAATATTTTTGAATTCATTTAAACCATATTCATGTGCTGAAAATTAGTATTAGTTGAAATATTTTACAGTTAATTTCTAAATTAAAGTAAATTTTATAGAAAAAAAGCAACTCAACAAGTTTCTAATCAATGAAATATATTACCAAAATAGATATTATTTAGAGAATGAACTGATAATTTTATGAACAATGTATAACATATTTCCTTCTTTCTTATTCTACGATATATCTAATTATTTTGCATGTATCGTATGAATCCCATACGTATCTCGTAATCATATTATTTTAGGAGTGCTCATGTAACTCGTAATATTTCATACATATCTTGTAATATTTGCATTTTTCTAATTTTTAAAAATTCTTTTTTGGAAGACAATACCTTTTTTATGAGCCCATTCATGTTGTGCGACACCAGTTATGATTGGTATCCGTGCATTCTTGCTAATTAATTCAGCACCAGATTGTGGTATCAGTTCATCATCCACTACCATTTTCGATACTCCTAGCTTGATATCATATCAAAATGCTGTCAGATTAGAAATAAAACTTCTTTTTAATATAAATTATAAGAAAAAATTAAAAGATAAATAATTTATGACGATAATTTGCCATTTTATAAAGGTAGTAAAATACCTCAGCAGCAATTGCATAACGGAATGAAAATGATGAAAGATTTAGGTTATTTCGTAAACATTCAATCATTTCCATATGACTCACTTCTTCGTTACTCTAAATTTCATTAATTAAAAAACAACTTTAAACTCATTATTTCATAAAATTTTGTCAACAAAAAAAAGGAAAGAAAATTTGATAAATTTGTTTTGATTTTTTATTGTGATAAATAATAAATTAATTATTATTTGTTGCTTCATACTAATAACAGTTTAAAAACTTTAATATGTTAATTATATAGGATATAATTAATTTTAGAATTGATATTGTAAGTGATATTGATGATTCGTTCTTCCTAGAAAATTTTATTCAATCAAATTAACTTACAGTTAAACAATCAGGTATTTTATCTTGCATATTACATTCTTTACTGATAGTTGACAATCCGGCAGCTTTTAATAATGATTCTGTTGTTTGTTTATCAAATTCTTTCTCACACTTAACATATGCTGCAATATTATTTACACTCCAAGCCGGTTGGCCAAAACGATGAACAGCCCAACCGGCAGTTGAGGAACCGGATAACATGATCGCTTGATGTAACAGACCTGAAAATGAATATTGTACAATTAATCATTATTCATATAATATTTATCTTCTATGATATTATACTATGCGATGAAAATTTAAGATGGAGGAAATTATTTGCAAGAAAAAAAATTGAATGTTATTAAATTTAAATTTTTTTCAATTTTTTAAATAATTGAAAATCGGGGAAAAGATCTTACAATTCGGATGGAAAATGATTTTATAAACTTTTAAATCTATTATAATCAGAAGCTATTATAATTTAAAGCTTCTTAAAAGCAAATTATATTAAGTCGATCATCATTGCAATTTGAAACTCTTTGTAGCAATTGCATCTATCAAATTGTCATTTAATTTGATAATATTATCGCTGATAATGCTGATAATGATTAAGATAGACTAATGCGTCTTCTCGCACTTTTTTTTGCAAAACGATTTTTTTTAACATGCGGAAATTTCGTAATATTTTATTCACCAAACAGAAAATCTGTCTTAGATAATTATCACTATGAAGTATTTATATAAGAATAGCGATCATTTTACCTTTAGTTTTGGGTGATACTGCAAGTACCGAAGCAGCAGCTGCACCAGCACTTTCACCCATAACTGTAACTCTTGATGGGTCACCATTCAATTGCTTCATATTTGTTTGAATCCATTCCAGTGCCATCACCAAATCCCAAATACCGAAATTACCTTCGATATGATCGTTGTCTTTATAATTCATAAATCCTACAGCGAAAAACAATACTATAAGCATAAAGATTAATCTAATAAACAATTATTTTCTTAACTTATATATTACAACTTTATTAATTAAATCATCCCTTTCATCTTTTATTAATTAATGAAAATTTTCTATAACTTTAGTAAATAAGCGTACCCAAAAGTCCAAGGCGGTAATTAAGCGTTACCAATGCAACACCATTAGATGTAAAATGTTTAGTTATCACTTCCATATCAATACCAGTATCACCTGAACCAGCTAAAAATGATCCACCGTGAATCCATACAATAACCGGATATAATTTCGATTCTTCTTCAGGATCCTGCAATGACACAAATTTGCTTTATTTACTGACAAGAAACAGTAAGAAAATTTATGGAACAAAATAGTATTAATTAATTACATTATTATAATATTAAAAAATTGATGAAAGCGAAGAGTAAATAATTTTTTTTAATTTCATTTATTTCATCAAATTGCTTTTTCAACAAATTAATAATAAACCAAATTGCTTTTAACGAATGAAAAATGAAATTGAAAGATTTTTCGACAATTTCACTTTACAACGATTTCAATTTCATAAATATCTTACATATGGTGAGAAGACATTAAGAAATAGACAATCTTCATTTTCATTTTGCATATTTGAACCACCAAATTTATCTTGCTTATGAAATTCCATAAATTGTAAGCATGGAGCTCCGTAATGAAGTGCTGCATATTCCTGATGCCAACGTGCTCGTTTTACCGGACGCTATAAAATATTTTAATTTATAATAAAAAATATGCAAACAAAAAATTTCTAACTTAAATAAAATTCTTATTAATTAACCTTTTTTTAAGGAATAACTTATTATTTTCGTTAATATAAATTTGGTTCGTCTTTCAATAATGAGAATATTTTGATTGACATATTTTCAAATATTTTGCAAATAACAATTGCTTTCTCAAAACAATTAATATAATAGGGAAATTTTAGTGAAAAATAAAAGAGCAAAGATCTTAACTGTCATAATTAATCATTCACTGATTTCATTTATCTTATCTTTCAGATAGATAAGAGGAATCTTCAATTCTTCGTCATTTTCAGAACTGCCAGCAATGACATTAATCAGTTTAACGTACTTTTTTCTTTATCAACTGTGAAAATTTTGCAAATAAACAAATCTTTCAATTTAAATATTTTATTTATTTAAATTTGCAGCACAAAAATAATTTTAAAAAAAAAGGAAAAAATCAATCAATTAATTTTGCTTAATTAAATAAATTATTTTATTGTAATTTCTACGAAAATAATTTCCATATTTTATTCGAAGAAAAATAGAAGACAACAAAAAAATATTTTCGAATGAATAAATTAACTGTATCTAAAATTATATTTTAATATTACTGCTGAAATTGAAATTGAAATTTAGCTCTAAACTTTTGAAAATAATTTTAAAAGAAGACTTCAAGAAAGCAAGTATATGAAGAAGAAAATTGAAAAAATATAAATGGTTTTGAAATTTTACACTAATTTTTCGCTTCATAGAAATGAATCACATTTAAAATATTATCGCGTAAAATAAATAAATTTCATTTAGCTTGTAGAATTCTCAAAAATTTACGGAAATTACAGATATCTATCATACAATTTCATATGTATTGTTGAATATCTCAGTTATTCAAATATTGCGAAAATGTTGAAAATTGTTAATATTATTTAAAGATGATGATATGATAATAAATGCGATCATTTTAATGACAGTATAATGATCTGTTTAAAAAAATGATTAAGCTTAAAAATTATCAAACTGTTATGCATAAAACTGATATAATATTTTATGATCACATTTCAATCAAAGGTATCGAAAGAATAATTTTCAAAAATTTTCTTTTATTTGAATCATATTTTAATTTATTAAAAATCTAATATTTTAATGTTATTAATTGATAAAATGATAATTTTGATTATTTGTGAAATTAGCTTTCTTAGCAAAGAAATGAAAATGAAAGATGATATGATTAATTGTTGAATGGTAGAAATGATTCTATTTTTAATTGGATAGAGAAATTGGTGGAAGAGGAAAGATTTTTAAAAAGTACTGGAAATTCATGACTTGTTTCAATTGGCATTTTTGCATATAATTAATTATATATAAAAAAATAACCTTAAATCGTAAAGGACCAATAGGTGCTTCAGCATACGGTATACCGCGAAATATTTGAACATGATTATTGGCTAACTTGTAAATTTTACCAAGTAATAAGCCTTGTTCCACCCAAACTGATCTTGATTTCTCTAAATTTTGTCCCTTAATTCCAGGTACCAATATCGTAATAAATAGTAAAGGTGCAAGGAATAACAAATATATGGTAATATATAACTGCTGAATATGCAATAATGGTATGAAAAGCATTTGAAAAAGATCTGCAGAAATATAAATAATTTAGCAAATCAAAATACAATGCAATTTGATAATTTATGAAAATCTAATATAAAAAAGACTAGAATAATAATATACAATTCAGAATAAATAGAAATATTTAGCAATAATATGATAATTGGTAGATAATAGCAGCTAATAGTAGTAAAAGTAATAGTTGTTGTTGTTATGATAGCTGTACTGATAGTGGTAGTAGTAGCAGTAATATTGGTGATAATTGTTGGTAAAGTTACGAACAAATGTTTAGCCTTCTTATTTCATTAATAGCATTAGCAATAGCGCCATACTTCTAATTGGTAAAGTATTTTCAACAACTGTTAATTTAAATAATTATTTCATCACATTCATTTATTCAAAATATCAGATTAGTCGAAGAAACTGTACATATCTTATTGTTGACTTAAATATGTATGAGAATGAGAAGTGAAAGAAAATGATGAAGAAAAATGATTAGATAGTTAAGGGTTGCATATATCGGAAGAAAAGAATTTCATTTGAGGTACGGGAGGATACGAGGGAAGATAAAAGGGCAGGAGCCAAGGAGGGAAATGAGAGGGAATTAAATGACAGTTGTTCCTTTCTGCTTAGGCAGTTTAAAATTTTACATCATTTCCGAAAGACGCTTCTTCCTCACGCACACAAACAAACACACAGTAATGAGAAGCAACGGAAAAAAGTTTGGGAAGAAATAATAGCAGTAATGGAATTTGATGATTATAATAGTCTCTTAAAACTGATGCAAAAATACACACTTTAATGTTTTCTTTTTTATCTTTCCCGCTCTCCAGGAGAAACTCTATGAATTTAAAAGTTTCTAATGTAAGAGTAAATTTCATCAAATAAAAAAATAAGATAATTATAGGTAAAATTTTAACTTGAATTTAATATGATATGTCAATCAATATGAATGATAAGCGCAATTGCGCAGTTGGATTGATTCTGAAACGAAGAGGTTAAAAGAAGTCAAAAAATCACTGTCACATGTTGTTTTGATGCGATTAAATGATTTGAACTTTCGAACATTTAATTAGCGAATACATAAAAATAAATTGCAAAATATAAAATCATCTATTTTTTGATGTTAAAATTAAAAGTACCGTGAAACTTCAGTTAGATAATGATTACTAATCTTCGTATGATTATAACAGAATGGTCGATCAATAATATTACAATCGATTTTCATTTGATGAGAAAAATTTAACAACTGCGATAATTTGTAAAGCTACCATCAAATGATGTAACTCAGCAGGTTTTTTGTGAAATTTTCTGGTTTGATAAAATCCATCCATTGTAAATGTATGAAATATTCTGGTAGTATATGCAGAAAATTCACCGAAAATCACAAATTCCAGAGATCATTCAAGCCTATGATCAAATCAAATTCCCTGTATTGGAAATTCTAGAAGAGGAGATAGATATAGTGGCAATTTGTTGTATCGCTTGTATAATGCTACACTATAATCGAATTTCACTTCCGATCTATTCATTTTCAATTATTTTTGCTCCAAATTTCCATTTATATGTTACAACAAATGCAAAAAAGAAAAGGATAAATTAAAAAATTTATTTTGAATTCTGTTCAGATGTAACAAAACAGTTAATGATAATTACTATTGTTCAGCAATTAAATTTTGTTATACAATAAAAGCAATTCGAAGCAATGCAATAAATTTATCGATAATTTCAACTAAAACAATAAGAATCAATTATTAACTGCTACATTCAAAGCTTTTATTCCCTCTCTTAACTTAAATGTCAATTTATGGCATAAAACCAATCGTTTTAAATGAGGCTTTTCAGGCTGACAGAAGAATGATATGTAAAAATGAAAAATTCATGGATTTTCCTTTCGAAATGCCTAAAAGAAGTAGGATGTATTTAATAGAAAGAATGAGAGAAACGAAAAAATCTTTGAGCATGATTCGTCTTGGAAAGAAGCAACCTGAGAGAAATAAATATTTAAGACTTAATTAAACATTACCATGAAACACTAATAGAAAATGCAAGGATAAATAACTGTCTGGTACTAATTTCAAATGCAAAATAACGAAGTACGAATAGATCGATAAATACAAAAAATTGATCTTTTATTATTAAAATGATATCTGTTTTAAAATAAAAAACTTCACTTCAAAATTTTGATTGAAAACAAATAAATTTTCATTCGATAGATTCGACAATAAACTGAACAATAAAAATATGAAAAAAGCGAAGGAAGAGGAGATCAAACCTATGTGAATAACAATCACAATATATTAAGATGAAGCAGATGATGTATATAAGCAGAAGTTATTTGGATAAAAATATTTTTATACTAATTTAAAACACAGAAGTAGAAAGATGATATCAAGGTAGGTAAAAATTGATTGTAAATTAATTTGAGGATCTCGAAATTAAAAATTCTGCAATATATCTGACACTCATCTCACTCACTGTTTTTTATAAAATAAACAAAAATTAGTTGTACAACAAGAAAATGTCAACTTATTTGCAGATATTATATGGCATAATGTAAAAATTATTTCAAATTCATTAAAGAAAACAGATGCATAATTTTCATAACAGAATATTTCTTATTCGATAATAAAATGTGCATTCCTTGCACAAAGCATGAAACGAACATCGTGATCGTATAATCATAGAACATAAAATATGAATAGTGCAACTGCGCTTAAATTAATGACAGCAAAATGAGTAGAAGCTGAGTTACACTTATCAGTTGTACAAACGCACATTCTTTCAACAGCATGGAGATCAGATCCCGGTAAATTAGAGGGTGTTTCTTCACATAAACCAACTTGAAAACCACCATCTGTTTCATTCAGACAACCACGTTTCACTGTCGTATATCCTACAAATAATCCTTTCATAAATTTGGGGAATAAAAAAATTCGAATATTTACTTTTTAATAAATAAGCCTAAATTAGGCTATGCTCTTTGCATATCCTACAAATAATCCTTTTTTATCTATAATAGATACATGAGTCCAGAACTTAAAATAGAACCTAAAAAACATCTTTACGAAAAACTAAAAAAAACCTAAAATATTTTAGATTTTATATTGAATTCTTAACTTATTTAATCTGTGGAACTTTTGCAATATTCCACATTTCATCAACCCATTCTACGATTTGTTTAAGCGAAATGAGCAAACTATTAACCATTAGCGATGAATTCTGCTTTGTAACAGTAACGTCCTTCGCATGTATCTTCACAATTTGGACTATTACCTGGACAATTGTGACATGCAACAATATGATCACCTTTAAAAAAATAAATTCTAAATTAAAGTAAATATGCAGTTTATAAAAATAAATGCATCTATTAAAAAAGTAAATACTGCCAATAATTATCTCAGTATTAAAAATTTTCAATAATTTTGTAAAACAAAATAAACACAATGATGATTCACTAGATAGTCATTATCGTCATCATAAGATTCACGAAAACTTTTACAACGTAGCGATATGAATGAATATACCTGATTTCCTAAAGAAAATTTTCAAATATTTTCTAATACACTTCGTTTTTCTCACAGGATTTATTATATTTGCTTTAATTAACAACTGTTTTAATGTTTTACCTGATTACATCCAAATTTTTAATGCTTTGTTTTACCGAAATGAGCATGCGAAAGATATCTTCGTCCATTTTTATCAGTACATGTATAATGTAACAATGAATATAAAATTATAAATTTGAAATTAAAAATAAATAACCTATTGGCTCTCCAATATTTTCAATGAATAATAGTGAAATTGCCACTAATAGCACACGCATCATTCTTTGTTAATATTATATTGATATTACAATTAAATCTTTCACCTGGAAAAAAGTGAATTTTCGAATAATTAGAATAATTAATATTTTTAGATCGTTTTTAACAATAATGCATTTTTCTTAAAAAAAGGTTGCAGCGTAATATATCGCCAGCAATTTTAATTTTGGAAATTACCGAAAAATTATTGCAAGTATAGCTAAATGTGTAATTTAAAATAATCATAACGTAATCGCATAGATAACTAAACTATCGTAATACATCTGCTATACTTTATTTGTAGCATTACCCTATATTATCTATACCAGTAATAAATTTATATTACTTACTATCTAACAACATTATAAAAGTAATTTAAGAGATCAAATTTCATTCAACAGTTCAAAATTCTTTTCTATACCATATTAATATTAATTATTATTAATTAATTATTATAATTATTAATTATAAATAATTATTATAATTATAATTATAAACAATTATTATAATTATTAAACAGAATGAAATGATACCATATTAAGTATCATTTCATTCTGTTTCAAAAAATTTACTGATAAAACGATAAATATCAAATCCTGAAATTTGAAACTTATGAATTATCATCAAAACATAAAACTATCAGTAAGGAAACAAATCAGAGCAAATAAGAGATGAATATTACAAAGATGACACTGGTTGACCTTCCCGCTAGCATTTTTTGTAAGAGTCAACACGAGAAAATTGAGTGGCAACATAGTGATAACCCAGAACTGTGTGTGTGTGTCTGTCTGTCTGTCTGTCTGTGTATGTGATGTTGTGCATGAAAAATAACAACAATGAACAGAAACTGGGATGATGATCATTTAATTTCAATAGTGATAATAGTAATAGTTATATATGGTGGTAATAGCAGAGAGAAGAGGAACTGAAGAAGGAAGATTAAGAGGAGTAAAAAATGAAGAAGTAAAAAGAGGAGAGGTCAACATTGCCACATCAATTCATAACTTAATTTTTACTTTGATGAGATACACATTTTCAAATAGGGACTATCATAAATTTCACTCAATTTTTTTCTCAACTTTTAATTGGTAATATCTGCGATATATTAATATGTTGTTACTTTAGTAATAGATTAAAACAACATAATTGAGTATTTTCCTTCCTGCAATTTTCCTCTATTTGTTAGCACTGTTGTCAAAACAAGTGAAATAATTACAACTTGGCGGTGTGTCATTTTAAACTCTGAAGAATTTGTTTAAAAAATTTTATTTTTCTTTTGAAGAATAATTTTTTTTTTCGTCGTAAAATTGAATTGTCTTAGTTTGATTAAAACTTATTTCAATTACAACGGAATTCAATTCAATTTAATTTAGGCTCACTTCAAGTCAATTTTATTTTTAGTTCAATTGAGACTAATTTAATTTCGCAATATAATCAATCCTTGGGTGTATTGCTCTTTTTATTGTTAATGGTTGGATAAGTGAAAGAGAAAAAGGGACGAAATGACCTTCAAAATGTCTCTTCAAAAACTGTACATTAACAAAACGGGAAAAAATATAAAAAACAAAATTAATTCAATAAACTCAATAGCACGTATCTGTAAGGAAATTCATCGAATTTATAGACTTCTTTCTTTTATTCGTAATGTGTTCATAAAATGGAATTACATTGGAAAGTTAAAAGTAAACATTACAATTAATCGATATGCTTATTGGATTCTGTTAAAAAAATTCTTTGTCAATTTAATTTAAAAATGAAACTTTGTCATAAATATTTTAAAACTTATTAGCATCACATTAGAAAAAAAGCTAACACTGTTCAATGGAAGTTGATTGATTATTGAATAGAAATTAATAAATTAACTAACTGATAATGAAATGGCTGGTTAATTATTAAATTATTTATCATTTATTTTGATTTTTATAATATTTATTGTTCCTTAATTTAGCTAAGCTATTTCTATCTTCTTACTAATTTAAACCAAAAAAAACTGTCGGAAAATTCGGAAATTGTGTAGGAATGATCAAAGTATCAAATATGTTGAAGCATGAAAATAATGTCACATCTGTTGGCTGCTGAAAATTAGGCAGTTCCAATTGCTGATATTTAGTCAGACAGATGGATGAAGCGAAGTGATTGGATGTTGATAACCCCAGGAAAATTATCATAGAAACTGGAGGAAAGTAAGAAGGATCAGAAGAGTACATGCAAGCTGTTTTGACGATTATTTTACAATTATTGTATACGGAATACATGTATATATCGGATACTAAATGTTGACATAAATGATTCACTTTTTAAATTTATAAAGAACAAGCAAATTTCGTTTCCTTCCTTCCTTCTTCATTTGTTGTAATTATATCATTGGTTCAACAAGATAAGATATTCCTTTCTTTACTGGAAAAATAATGATAAAATGATAATTCTGTTTCTCAATAATTAGATGAAACAAAATAATGAAATGCAAAATTTGGATGAGATTACAAAAAAAAACTAAATAAAAAAGATAGGATAGAATATATAATGAATGCTATCTCGAAACTGTTTTTCTTCAATTTTCCAGCTTCTCGTTTCTTTCCTATTTCGAGTTGTAAACATCAACTTCAAAAGCATACAACACTAACGGCTGCTTTTCATATGATTCACATGAAACAGGAAAAATATTGAAACAATGAGTAATATAATCAACCATTTATATACAAGATAAAATCTCATTCTAAAAAAAAATTTAGAGAATTCGCCAACTCATCATCATCATCATCATCATCATCCATTTACTTACTATCAAACAAAGTTCAACGAAGAAAGTATACCATGAATTCCGGTTTTTTCATCCTACCAATATATTTCGAATGCAATAATGCTTATACTTAAAATGATGAAATTTATTTCCACGAAGAAATTTTCTATGTAACATTCGACACCACACATAGTTGCATTTTTGTTATGAAAATGAAATACCGTAAAATTAAAGTTTTATTTTCCTACTTAATGGGTAAGTTATATCGAAGTATATAAGTAGATATAAATTTAATAGAACTTTTTTTGCGTTCACTTACCACAGACAAATAAATAAAAATGAAGACTTCCCCTTCTGTTAAACTAAATGATATTCCTAACTAAAAAAAGATAACAGAGAATTTGATAAAAGCCACTGAAAGCTTTTTCTTTTTCTTGTGGAAAATATTTCAGCACAACCAGCACCTTACTAGAAGCGTCTGCTGGGCCGACCGATCAATGGAATACACACATTTGGCTCTATCCATGTATCAATTCTTCTTTTACATCAAATTTTCATCCTATTTCCTTTTTTTAACTTTTCATAAAACTTTCCTCCTTTTTCCTTAGTATTTAATAATACAATTTCATATGCTATGAAAATATGAATGGTTATAATTATTGGTCAATTCATTTGTAGGAAATATGAAATCTTCAATGAGAAATTTTCCATCATACAGCGCCAGTTGATAACGGTTTATTTAAAAACAAAGAAAAATTCCTAATAGTAAATAAAATTTGCAAAAAAATCGCAATAACAGCAATGAAATATGGAACATGCGAATTTCATCAGTAATCTAGAAAGGAAATAAAAGGATCAGGAGAAATATATAACTTTTTTATATACAACGACATGAAACTTTTAAACAATGATATATGACCAATTTTTTCCTATTACTATCAATAAACCGACAAATTCATTTGTTAACATTTACGTAGATCAATTAAAATTTAAACTATGCATTATCTTCAAGATGAATACAGTTGGCCCACAAAATTGACTTATGCGTTGCCGTAAGGCATAATATACGTACTATGAATTCTTCAATACTAACCACTAATATAACGGCATTTCATGCATATTTTATTTCATTGAAATTCTAATTTCAATGCATCATCCACTTTGGTCATTTTTCTTTCCTTTTCCATCTTTATCTAAAATAAACCACAAAACGAACAATAATTCCAGGAAAGATAAGGAAGTGAAGCATGAAAAGACATCCCAAGTTCTAAGTTTCCTTCTACGAAATCCTGATAATGCGAAAAAAATCACATTTAAGCCAACATCATAAGCATGAGATGCAAAGGTGAAAGGTCCAACAATATTTGAAGTATTTTAAAGAACATGTCAATAAATCAATCACCCTGCCATACATTTTTTCTAGAATTCAATATTGCAGAAGAGAAATTTTTCTACCATAAAGAAACTTATTACTAATCAAAAAAAGCTGAAGAATAGAAAGAAAGAAAATGCGTTTTGAGGATTTTAGACACAATTTAAATGAATTCAAGAACGAAACAGCACAAACGCATAGACGCACTCATACAACAATGAGCATAGAAGGCAAAATAATTTATTACAATACGGAATGATTTTTTGAGATTCAAAATATTTTTTCATTGTAAGAAATATCGATTCTTTCTCATGATCATTTGCTGAACAAATAACGCTGAAATGGTCAAAATCGCAAAAAAAAACATTATCGGTACATAGCAGATATTGAATTCAGCATAATTTCATGCCAATACTGTTACTAAGATAGTATGTGGATAGTAACTGTATATATAATAAATGCTTGTACATTCATCATGCACTTAATAAACACAAGTTTTATAATTCACATTTCTTCAATTACTTTCAAACGCTTTCCTCCTGATTGATCTTTTTCTCTCTTTTGTCAGGCAAATATTTTAAGGCAAAACATTAGCCTCAATCGTTTTAGGAAAAAGATTAAAAAGGCTTTAAATTGTGCACGCAGAGCAAACAAAGATGCACGGTAAAGAGATCACATTTAAAGAAGCGATATATAAAATACGAATTACGGCCAGTCGTATAAAGTTTGAATTGATTCCTGCTCTCTAATACTATACATATACGGTTCACTTTCATCCACTGGATCCAAGCTTAGCAAACCATATGAATTTGTTGCCGTATCCTCCGTATTTGAACTCGAAACTACAAAAAGATTTATGAAAAAAAACTACAGAGCTGAAAAAAAGGCAAGCCTCAGTACAAAAAAAGTAGAAGCACCAAGAATAACGAGAGTGGAATGAATAAAATACAGAGAAAGCATCAGGTCCACTCTCAGAAATAATAAACAGAAATGATTCGAATAGCTGAATAATTTCACAATCGACTAAGAAATCACTGGGAGGGATTAATTGATGCAAAGTTATTGTAAGTGTCAGAAAGTGAAAATACATATGAAAACATGGAATATTTGCAATCGCTGTCTACAGAGAATTAAAAAGACGGAATCATGAACATCATAACTCACTTGCTTGTTGTGAAGGACCTTCAACGACCATTTTTAGTGGAGAGGTATGTAAGTTTGGTGGAGCGTAGAAAGTACTCAATGAATTAAGGGGTAAAATATTCACATTACTGTCGTTATTGGCTAAAAAAGAGTCAATATAAATGCACTTCGCAAAATAGTACAAATACACTTAATAAAGACGAATATGGAAGAAAAGTGTTAATTTTTGACAAGGAAATCAAAGCAAAAAGTTGCAAGCTTACGCCCTGGAATTGGCACTTGTTGTGCATCACCATTGATTTCTTGAAATACATCATTCGTTGCTTGTTCAGACCAATTGAGTCGGTCTTTTTGCACCAAAGCTTCGCATGATTCTTCTTTCTAAAAAAAGTCACATTAGATGAAATTCCTAAACGGAAAAATACAAATTAGACTTTGATGGGCCAATGTAATTTCTCAGTGAACTTCTCCAAAGACAACTGATATTGTCTAACGGCAACAAAAACGGTAAAAACCACAAATTTTGTATATTTGAGAAATTTTACAAAATGAAGTAACTAATATATTATGATAATGATGATATCTGAAACTTAATAAATGCTCTTGATTTTGACAACATAAACATATAAAAAATTTGTTGATATCAGTTGGTTTCTATTAGTGATTGTTAGTTGAATAAGGATGGTAATTTTGAAGCTTTATTTCAGATTGCAGCTGTATTTACGAACAAATGAAAAGTGACTTCTTTTCCATCCAGAACAAAATAAACAATCGAATGAAAAAAAATAATTAACAACGATAAAACTATTTGAACCTGCTGATTCTTCGGTGAAACATGTGGACAAAGATAGGCCTCTAACGATTCCTTTTGTGCGTTCCTGATCATTATTTCGAATTTCTGCAATTATCGTTAAACAGATATAGTTAAGGTATGAAAAAGCATTTACAATTTAGTGAAGTTCCGAAGAACTATGTTACAAAAAACTTACTCCTGTTTCCACTGGGTCTGTTACATCGATGGACGAGTATGAGTCCTTAGGAGCTTTGATTGCTATTAACGTTTGATCAGACATTCCTGGCAACATTCGAAGATCTGCGTATTTCACATAACTGCAACAAATAGACAAAAGATGTATTCAACAACATGCAATGATTAAAATATTGACAAAATAAACTCAGTGAAAATTTTTGGATTTGTTCAATGATGCTTTCCGATTGTTTGCCGGAGAATATTAGATGATTTTTCTGAAAGAGAACATCTATGACGCCTTTAGATATACCTGTAGACTCGATCTGTTGGATCTTCTTTGGCTAATTTTAGTGCATTTTCAATACTTGTAATTAATTCATCCAGTGACTGCTCGTGTTTATCTAAGCTTTTAATCTCTTCTTTAAGCCTTTGTGCTTCAATTCCACGTGAACCAATTTCATCATTGCTCCTGAAATTCGGTGTTTCTAAGTAGGTAATTTATATATGATTGAAACGCACGATGTAACTTCATCTCCTATCATAAAAGATTTAGAGTCTCCGAGAGTCAAATGAGCATTCTCTTATAAATAAAAAGTAAACAGCCTCTAAAGATGCATTTAAACTTCAAATTCAAATTATAAAAACCTGAAAATTCAATAACTCACCACATTTAACAACGCACAACAAAAATCATTCAAAGACCTTTCTATCTTTTGTCCATCCTTCCTATCGTTATACCATCACTTTGATCTAATTTCACAACAAAGTTTGCTTGCTTTATTTTTATTTTATCATTGTCATACAGGAAGATAAAAAAGCATATATTCCACGTCATTAAATACTCACTTCCACCGTATGCTGTTCTTTCCCATTTTTTCAATCATGTCAATTCCTTCCAGTACATTTGTTATATCATAAAGACGTCGCTTTTGCACGCCTAATCGCATAGCCGCTTCGTTCAAATTCAATAACTGTAAATAATATGCAAAAAAATGCGAAAAGTATGATGCAAAATCACTTCCATGCCAGCCAAGTTGAGAAGGTTACACAGCAGTGCTGCATTTTCAAACATAGCATGAAGTCTTAACAGTGGCAGGTAAAAAATGTTAGCATGTCGAGAAAAAAAAACACTCTCTGAAGAAAAACAAAAATCAATAATGGATCATGTCCAGGTCAACGTGAGACATATGAAAGGAAGAAACTTACTCCGTCTTCATTCGCTTGAGGTTGCAATTGCATGAACTTTTTCGTCAAAACCAACAATGAATTATCAACACGACAATTCAGCGGTCCAAATTGAGCGGCAGACAACGTTTCACCGGCTACAACTGTCCAGAATGAAATAACATACTTATATAAATTCTTTAATAATAGATTAGCTTTCATCTATAAGTTTGTCAATAAATTGAATATAACTTTGAAAATCCCTAATAATGTTCCCAAATTGGAATAAGAACAGACCTTGCAATACAAACATCCTTTAATTTTTATCTAATAATACAACTCACTACAACTCACTCGTCACTGGCAGTGGATATAAACAAGGAAGCAAACTCTTCCGTAGCTGTTCACATGTTGTCAAATAAAAATTAGTGAAGGAAGAGTTGAGCTGAGAGGTATCAGAACAACTCGATAATTTACTACCAAAACATTCCTTCTTATTATCATTTAGATTTGATGAGGCATTCCACATAGTACTTATCAGCAGCACAAGTAAATAGTAAGTTGCAGGTAAATGCAAAAGCAAATAACGATGAAGAACATGCGCAGATGAAGTCGTTCAACAAGCATAGATGTTCGATCAGGTCAAGCGAAGTCTTCAGCGCAATCGATTACTTAGGAAACTTGGGGAAGGAATGATTCAATACTAAGATACGAGGTCAGATATTATTTACCCCATGTGGCATTTTCCATTACCTGAGCAGCTGTTATTATTCGCGAACGAAGGAATAAAATAGTTATGCACATACATAGATAAGCACATAAATGAACACATATACGCATTATCTACAGGTAATACTCTCCAGATTGTCCTCTCCACGTCCCCCTTCTCTAGTTACATAATGAATAAACCAGCAAAACAATGACGATAACTTAGATCATACAAAAAATTATAATCTTACCTGCATGCCTCTTTCGACTACTTGTGGGCCGAGGATGAGATTCTGAAAAAATAAATTCATAGAGTCAGTTTCATGCTTATGTGTGTGAAAAGCTCGAAAAATAAAACCTATGAAATAGATTAAGAGACGCGGAGATTATTTGACTTATATATAGCAAAATTTATACATCAGCCAAAATCTTATTGACACTAATGTTTTTCAAACTAATGCTTCGATACTTGAAAGGAAATAATTGTAAAGATTCAATTTCCGTTATTTAATTCACTTGTTTTATATCAAAATTTGACAAATAAATTCTATTTTGCAGCTTACCACATTCCGACTGAAGTAAAGCTTGTGAACTGGAAGAACCCTGTGAATCAGTATATTTCAAACTAGCGAGATGTAGTTCTGAATTTCCGACAGGCGATGCAGTCGCCAATTCCGACTTTCGCCCCTGAAAATAAAAATAAAAGAGAACTAAAAACAGCAGTTTTTCATGCCCTAAAAAGAAAAAAACGGTCTCCACAACATCTTCATAGAAGATAAATAGTTTGTCTTCAAACTGCTCTAGTTAATCCTGTAATTCCTCAGTGATTTTAGCTGTTCATTACATTTCGAGAACTAAAATATGTATAAAAAACTTCGCAAACTTCAAATATTATATTTGAAGGATAAAAACAATACTTTCGGCGTTGCAGAAATCATTTGCTGTGAGCTGTTCTGGGAAGTGTAACGGTCAGAATTGGATATATAATCACTGTTCCATCCACCGTAACTGCTAACTGAACAACTATTTTGACCATTCGTTGACGATGGCATGAAACTTGTCGCAACCAGATCGTTTGTCCACGAACTGCCTCCAGTTCTTCCATTTCTTTAACAAGGTTTTTGTACAACTGCTTATTTCCATTAAATAAGCAAACTTCAAGTAAGAATAGTCCCAATCTTTACTAAACTTCTTTGTTGAGTACTTTGATGCTATAAAAACGCACATTTTATACAGTGCGAATACATTTTATAAAAAAAACTAGCATTAGTACGAACTGAAAACATAACGGAAACGGCAATAGGAATTGTTTCTGCAATTATGAAGAAAAGCTGTTCAATAGAAACTTATATTTTTCATAACATGCCATGCGGGTATTATTTCTTAAAAAAATTTCAATTACAGGAGTATTCTAGAGTCATATAAAACCAAACAGGGAAGATAAATTACATACTCTCACAATCCAAAAACAAAAATAGAAACAAATTTCCCTTAAGCATATGAATATAAAGCCTTAATTTGCCGCTTTTGACTAACAAAACAAATGTCATAAATAGTGCAGACTGGCTGGATGATTCATCAGAGACGATCATGATTTACGAAGTTGATTCCTCCCAGCTAATTCATCAAAACCACTCTGTCTGGGAAATAATCCGCATTAATCTTTCTTTTGCTCTCTTTCGCATACCAAAGTACAAAAAAACGATTGGCTTTTGTTACTCTCTTTATATTTTTCAAATATCTCTGAATCATTAGCAGTAGAAAATTAAAATCACGACTTTTTTTTTGTTTGATTTACATAGGAAAAATAAACTTATCCTTTTCTCAATATAAATTTTTGAAGTAAACTGATAAAAAAATAAGTGATATCATAATGGTTAGCTATGTTGCCATAGAAAAAGCAAAAAAAGAATAAATGAAAAAAGAGGCAAACTTCTTGCATTACAAATCAACACTTACCTTACATTCATTCCAGAATCCTCATCAAGCTGTTGTCCAGCGACCGGACTGCTCCAAGCAGCACTTTTTGCCTGTAAATGGATCTCAGTGAACTTTCTCTAGCTGAAAATTGAACCAATCTTAGATCACTTCGTTCAAGAAAAGCCACCTAGTAAACTATCCATTGCTAAATTCTTGACTATTTTACACGTCCATTTTATAATAAATTTCAGAAACATGAATCTTGCAATAATCCCCTCCCGTCCTATTTTCTTCACTGGACTCTTTCTCAAAAAAGATAACATCAGCAATTTCTCCCTCCATGATAATAAAGTAGAATACTTCTGAATCCAAGCCTGCTCTGTTGTTTACAGTAATCGATGAATTAGTCGAAAGATGTCCCACGAAATAATGCTGATACAGTGATGGCTGCGTTGAACTTGCAGCTGCCATACGTAAATCTTATCGATAGTTCACAGTTATTGAAGTCACCTCATTACAAGCTGAAATTTCGTAGGAAATTTGCATCGTCAATACAAGATACGTTTTGGAAACACGAGAAGAGTTAAATGCAATGACTGTTGTTTACTATTAATATCTGGAAAATTTGCAGTAATTTATCCAACACAATATACCGTCAACAGTGTTCACTGAACGATCGATAAAAAAGATAAACTTTCACTACATCTTTACGTTTTACTATTTTCCAGTATAATTTTTTTTCAAGTAATGGTAGAGAAAACGATTTTTTTTTTTAAAAAAAGTTATCATTATTTGAAACAAAGAATTATATCGGTTAAAACTTCCAGTCACCGAGCAAATGGAACTAAGACCAATCAATAATTGCAAGGAGAAAAAATCGGTAAATATGAAATTTGTTTTATTCAATGGAAGATTAATTACGGTGTCAAATATTAAAGATAGAATTTAGTTAAGGTGGAAGAAGAAAGGAAAGGGAAGGTAACAACAGGTGTTCCGAAGATACCCAATAATTGGATTATGCGAAAAGATGTGTATCATGAATTTATATTATTCAAGGTATGCTACATTCAATGCACCAACTATCACAATCCTTTCATGGAGAGAAGACAAGTACTTCAGTTTCAATTTGGGATTCGAACATTGGGAGAGCAAAATATCAACCAAGAAGATGTGGTGGATAATCAATGCATTTAAACGTAGCAGCACATAGAGATACACATATCACATAGGAATAGGAAATACGAAAAGTGAACAATGGAGTTAGAGCAACGTATAAACGTGAATCAATAATGACTGATAAAATCTAGTGAAAATTTCATTCCAATAATAATTGAACAATGACAAATATTCGGTAATGATACATATGAAGATGAAATAATAATGAAAAATAATATCGGTAGCATCACTTAATTTTAGGATTATGTCAACAGTAATATATCACAGATGATTAAAATTAAACACAAACACTTTGGCTAGTTAATGAAATATGTCATTAAACAGTAGTATGACCGGGATCGTAGATGCCTGTCTGCCATAATAAGTTTATAAAATTCATATTAAACTTTTCAACCCTCGACTGCATTCCACTCATCTATTTTTAATTAAGCTGTGATCATAACAATTTCATGCCAATACTGACAAATATTTGTCGTCATATGTCAACAAATGAAAGAACAAAAAAAGGGCACTACATTTTAAATTTGGATAGAACATTATTATTGTAATGATAATAATATTACCCAAGATAACGGAATGACAGTAAGGATGATAATCATTAAAATGATAATGACTGCAGTGACGTAGTTGTGGCAACAAAAATAATGATAATGATAAATGACGGTTAAATGGTAGTGATTAAAAGTAGTTGATAGGAATAGTTAATAAGCAGGAAGTACGGGAATAAGAGATATTTTGGTAGACGGTAAATGTCTATGAATGATGCCATTCGTCTAGACGTTTAATACCCGAATAGATGTCAGTTATTGCAGTACTCCCCTACTGGCTTTCTTGTTTTCTTGAACACTCACCAAATAGTAATAAGCAGCAATACAAAAAGTATCATTGGTACTAAAGGAAAGTAATCGTTACAGGACCTATTGCCGGGTACTTCCGGGGCCAGTACCCAGTACCCACTAATGCGGTAGCTCGATGAACCAAAATTGTCAACGAATGCAAAATGCACCTAAACCAACCCCTTCCCTCCTTCTGGGATACGATCGATTCCCTACGCCCTCCTCCCAGGAATGGTGTGCACACATACACATACACATACACGCACACATACACACATAGAGCACATACATATACGCAACACACACACACACACAAAGGAAGAATGAAGCGAAGAGTGAAGTGAAAAGGAAGCAGATGGGACAGGTGAGGGAGATGTTTGCGTGAGAGGATATGAAGTGAGGTGAAGGATGGTCCCTTTAGCAGGCGTTTTACCTGCATGTCGGACTGGAGCTGCACTCCAAACTACATGCCACAAGCTATAGCTACTTTGGTTTTGCGGCTAACAGAAGGTATCTCGCGGTATCATCCACTGCAAAATACTGCTCTCCCGTTAATTGACTCGTCATCCATCAATCGTGATCTCACTTTTACCGACATGTCGGTTTTACAATCACTTGCAAGCTCAATAGAACTTATTTCTCGGCATCGATGACGTCGTGATGCTGTTCCGCTAATTAATTCATCCATCATTAGTGTTCTTGCCTTATGCTACCGTTAAAAATGATCACAGTCTGTCATCTTACATTCCTCCACGTTTCTCCATCCATCCGTCGTGCCTGAATCGCGATGCTGTGTATTCGGGTTGTGTGTTCTATATGAATTCGAAAAGATGTGCAGAGAAATCTTTACTCCTCAATTATATTATCGTAGGCAGAGCTACCTTGACGCAAATCCGTTCTTAGAATCCAACCACTAATATATTACTAAAATAACTGACTGCTGATCAGTGACCACGAAAATCGACAACTGAATGCTGCTATACTTCAATATGTTTAATTAAGAATAACAGTACCAAAACAACTGTAATTGACAAAATGTAGCTCTTATGTCTACATACCTGGAGAAATCAACTAATTATCATCAATCTTCCCACGATTATGTTTGAAACGAAGTAGTAATGACGTATAATAGAATATTTACTACTTTGTAGCAGTTCTTTTGTGGTCACGTTTAAGTATATACCTATTTATGTTTTGATCGCTTAAGTAAACAACCACGATACTCACATTTCCGATTCATCTGCGTGCAAAAAAATGGCCAACATTAGAAAATTTAATAATTCATTTCCATAATAAAAATTTGCTAGGCACTATTTGTCATTCACATAAGAAAAATGCATAAATTTATTACGTTTAAGATACACTGATCGAAAGGACAATGAGCTCTTCACATCTCTCTCGTCAACTGACCTATTTTACCAATCATTTTCTAATCACATTCATCAACGGAAACGTGAATATTCCAATATCTACTCTTATTGAGAAAAGTAAGTTACGAGAAAGGGTTCATAACCCGTACTTGTAAAAAATATGCACCTAATAAAATTAGCAATCGGAACAATTTACAATGGAAATAATACCATATATAATTAATAACTTGTAACAACTTCAAAATTTACAATGTTTTGGAATGAAAAATGACTTCGATGGCGAAATTAATTGTTATAGGACAAACATTTTTCTGCATTGTCTAATCCATTATTTGGCATCCGGCAGTAATTATGTAACTCTCGCGAAAAATCCACGAAAAAGGACTAAACAGCAGTTACCAGATGATACCACGTCCTAGAGAATGACAATCTAAACTATCAGTACTCGAATTAGCACCATTACTATTAATAAATAAGATGTATCTGGGAGTTTCAAAGGAGGATACAATAAATTAACACGAATTCCATCTCTCAACATTCAAATCAATACATTTCTAATGTCATTCTTCTCTTATCACTTAAAATATTAACTGGTACCGTTCCCACTGCATCCCTCCAATGCTTTCATCCGACACTTCGTCAACAGCGTCCAGATTTCACCTCTTATCCATACTGCTGCTTTTTCATCAAGCTTTGCAATTCCTCGAATATAATCGGCAATAGACAAGCCTACAAAGCATAAATTTATATTCAGAATTTTCGAAGTATTCGGATTACAGTGATTCGATTCATCAAAAATACTTCTGGCTAGTGGTTCAAACGAAATAGTTTGACGACCACTATCGTGCATTCTTTTTCCAGAGAGTTATTTACAGCCGCCTCTGTGACATAACTATAAAACGCTCATGGTAATTTTTTATTTTATCACTCATAGATCTTTCAATGCATGTTTCAGAAAGTAAAAGTTTTACCGTGAAAAATTGCTTCCTTAAAAAATAAACGAAATCACGAACCAAAATGATCAAATTCATCCATCCTAGAAAAACAACCGTCTTCTCTATCATGCGTTTTTGAGTCAACACCTTTCTGAGTTTTGTAATCTGACGACCTGTCATGTTTTCTTTTACGGCGGATTGGCAGTAAACTTGTGGCAGAAGTGCCAGGCACTGAAAACTCAGAGCACGATTCCTTTGACGGAATATTTTCATTCAGATTTTGCAAGCCATTTTCTTCGTTCATCATAATGCAATATCTAAATTTCACACAGAGATAAATTTAGTACCTGAATAATCTTGAAAACTTTGACTTATAAGATTCTGCCGACCAGAGGTAAATACTTACACTTTATTATGAATTTTTGGATAACTCCTTATAATTTCTAATGTTTCTTAGTTAAAATGCATATATATTTTACTGATGCATGGTAAATGATTCATTTTTCATTTCAAATTGCGAATCAATAAAATTCTACAAAAAAGGAAATGAAACTCCTTTATAACCTTACCGAGATTGCGGCAATTGCTTGTAAGGCATCAGAAATTTTAGCTCTTCGGAAAATTTGAAAGATGGAAACCGACAATCATTTGGCTCCATATTTCTAATTTTGTTGATGAAACGTACATATTGATCTCTCAAAGACTTCCACTGTCTCGCTATGTCATCCGCTAAATACTATTGTTGTGCTGATTATTTCTAGAAATAGCCTTTTCTGTTATTTGTTATGTTTTTCGTAACCTTTTTAATTTATATTTTTTCATTTCGCTTCGTAGTTGCTCCCTCGTTAACTACTGTGATCGTTTATAAAAATACGAACAAAAGTTTTCAAATCCTGAAATGTGCACCTCACTATTCATCAAATTAACGGTGAAGCGCCCGTGTTATCTTCAGGAATATAAAATCAGGACTACACTCAGACCACCATTTTACAGTACCCTGGACAATCAGCACATTAAACGTTTCGAAAGTCTTATGTTATTCATAAATTTAAATCATTTCGAAAATACCATTCAACGCATATCCCGTTCGATGATAGAAAGATTCAATGACTTCGTTCCTTTCACTTGCCGCATACTGCAAATCTCTATATTTTGGATGGTTATGATCCCATAAACAGGGTCGTTTCTTCATTTCCTGTATTAAAATTTCTCGCAGATCATCCGTCCATACTACTGAAAAAGTACTGCACTAGTTTTTTACATTATTTCACTGCTTTCACTATATCTGAAGATTTCTACTTATATGATGTTTCTGTTTTCGTATATTTTTATTGAAGATTCGAATGATACGGTCTAAATGAGAATTGATAAAGAATTTGAGCTATACTTTTTTTTATACTTTGTGTAGTTCAAACTTTTTATCAATTCTCATTTCGACCTATCATTCGAATCTTCAATAAAAACTCACTTCTGATTTTTGTCGTTCGATCTTCTATAGCTGACGGTGACTTCGCACTTCCACCTACTACCACAACATCTGCAACAAACTTCAAGTTGGCTTTCAAAATGAAATTTGATTGAAAAATTCTCACTTTTAAAATGCGCATACTATTAAGAATATTGCTGGTACCATAAATGATAATAAATAAAATATTACATACCTAATTCTGGCTTGACAGATGATTCAGATGTCGTAGTAATTAAATTCGAAGGTGAGTAAATGTGGTCACTGAATGACATTGCTGCAACTGTAGTATGTTCACTATGAGCATTAGCTGCACTGTCGTCTGCATTACCATAATTACGTTGAACCTGAAATTCTAACTGAAATCTTAGTGAACGGGACATCATACATTACTGTAATGGAGAACAATTTTTCTTTCTGAAGATTGTGAGTCGCAGAGAATACGTAGTCCTTATTTTTTTGATCTAAATTAAGTTCGTACAGTGCTGCTTGTAATTCTCTCATGAGAAAGGATTGAATGAATTAAATGAATAAATACTTAATGTTCATAGAAAAAGATATTTTATGCTTTTATAACGGTTAGGTCTAAAGATCGATTATTACATCCCATGAGCTAGCTGCATTAAAGAATTAAAATATAATACCACATATGTTATTAAACAAACATAACAGAAAACGTTAGAGAGGTGACCTTTTCGGTAGAAGCGAGCAATTGTTGCGTATTACTTTGGTCAGTAAAATTCACATCACCGGCATCACTACTATGCCAAACATTCGTGGAAACAGTTCCTGATTCTGTCCCACTTGTTGAATTCGGTGTCGGACCACTGACTAGCGTAATGAAAGCGTTTGATGATCCTAACCCGTTAGTCCATTGTAACGCTCGACCACTGTCAGTTGCTTGTTCATTTCTGCAAAATAAAAGTTGATAAAATGAGAATTTTTTAAGATTCCTAAAAACAGCAAAAATGGCCAAGCTGCTTGAAAAATGAAATAACGTTAAAAAATAATTCCTAATTGCTGAAAGTCATACTACTTTCTTTTAATCATATCCCTGCCACTGAATTCCTGCAGTATCAGTCTTTTCTACCCTAAATAAAGCAGCAATTGGCGAATAATATCATCGAGTTAATGCGGATAACCGATAGGAGAGCGGATGTCGCAGTGATTGGTGGCGCAAATGTATGTCAGGATGGTATCATGAAGCAAGATATCCTAATAAAGACGTAACTGCATGTCGACTGCCTGGATATGGCATAACTGCGTACGTAGTCTTATGATGGTGCAGGATATCAAGATTATTTTGCATTTGTAAAGGGATATTGTGCCATACATAAACCTATGTGGCATGCAACTTATTTATGGGTTAGTTGGTATTTTTTCAGCTTATTTCAAGCCTTCAACGTCTGATATCCGATTGCTGTTTCCATACCACAGTTGGGTAGTTATACCGAATGAAATGTACGAATTTCGATTTTCACAAGTAAATCTGCAGCTTTTTAGCAATTGTAATGAGAGGATGGCGGAGATGTAATGAGAGGAGGTGAAACGGAGTGGTCAAGATAGGGTAGGATAGAGAGATATAAATGGTTATATAAATGAAGTGTGAACTTACGAAGCATTGCCAAACTGACCGGACCGTTCATCGGGAGCTTTCCTTGTTGGCATCATCGAAAGCCAACCCACACAACAATAACAATTATCACAATAACAGTAATCTGTAATAGTAATGTTCTCACATTTTGAATTTCAAAAGCTCGTAAAATTTTGTGAAATTTTTAAAATTCATATATTTCAGTGGAATCAAATGGCCATAACAACAATAACAACTACTACTGCCAATACTCGCGAAACCGAAAAGGAGCAGCAACCTCACACGCTACGCTGTCGCCAGTCGCATCGACAGCATCGCTGCGGCGCGCACGCTGCACACTGCAGCTGCATCGCTGCACGCCTAACTGCCGGCACTCAAATCTCTGCCCTTTGTTTAACGATTACCGCTGGGACGTTAGAAATGGCATTGAGCGGCTAAAACGCTCTTTGGACGAATAGAATTTGGAATTTTGGCAGTTTCTTAAAACATCAGGGTCATGTCATACATAGATATCAGCTGGATTACATTACATCTATATAGAAGTATGTTCAGATTATCTGATTTTTGCGTGTAATTTATGCGTAGATTTAAGAAGTGATCCTTTTACACACATTTCGTTAAAACTCAGGAAAGGTCATCGATTATAGTATCAAATCAGATAAGTAAGACTTATGCTCTGTTTTTAAAATTAAAAAGTAATTAGTACGTTTGAATACTTATGCTTGAGATATTTCAAACGTATAACTATAGCATAACCATTATTCTCTTATTAATGCTTTATTATTGTCAGTATGAATATGTTATCGGAAGCGTGTATTATCAGTATGAGATGTCGAGATAATAGCATTATCTCTTATCAGTTTTCATATGGAAGTGGCCATTTTGTGGGCTAAAAACGATGGCAGCCATTTTACGAACGTCTGAAAAACGTATATTATCTGCCCAAGATGTCGAGGATGATACCGGAGATAGTATTGGACGAGAAATATCATCTTTGGAGCGTTTAGTAGCTACCGGTAAAATTTCTTATAGAATGAACTTTAACCTAACTGTATCCAGTATTCTATTGCAGTAGTATTCCTAGATGAATTTCGTAGTTTCTAAGTGATTGCCGTACTGAATTATCTGTTTTACATTTTTTTTTGTTTTTCGATATAACTCATTTTAGCAATGACTGATATCGCATCAGAAATAAACAAGAAATATGTGGAGTGTATCCCTGATTTGGTTACAACTAATAAATTGCTGGATACTATTCGTTCCACCTGTAGTACCGTAAACCATTCAATCAACTCTATTGTTAACAATGTAGAAAATATAGCGAAAGAAGTTGAATTGAATGTAAGTTGTCAGTTTGTTTATTTGAACTGCCTAACGTGAACATTCATGAACAATCACCAATAACTGTTCAATTATTCATGGAAAGCATAAAAGTTTTAGAAGTGGACAAATGCGTCACAAATATAGTATGTAAAAATTATGAAAAAATTAATCAAATATGCATTAAATTAATTATTTCACGGTACTTGCCAAAGTAGATTAAATGGTAATCCTGCTTGGTGCTTCATCTCGGCATCATTAATTTACTCCTGACAATAATAAAATTTTTTGCATGTCTTTAAATGTTTTTTTCTTTAAGAAAAAGGAACTGGAAAGATTAGGATCTATAAAAGACTGGAAATTGAAAATGCATTCCTTAGAAGAAATTGAATCGTTGATATGTCAATTATCGTACTCGTCAAATGAAGAAAACCCTTTGGTCAACGCAAAACTGCTTGTGGAACTGGAAGCAAAATTAAAAGACATCTTACAGGTACAATTTATTAAGAAGTCCAGTTATGTACACTTCGCAATTTTTTCAATATTAAATTAATAAGAGAAATGTCAATAGGGTCAAATTAGAGTTTTATATAATTCCTTGGTTAGGATAAAATACATTCATGTTTTAAACTTAGAATGTAGCAGTAGGATAGTTTTATGTCATTTTGGAAACGCTGATCACGTTATAATCGGTCACTATTAGCTATATATGTTAATATCAGATATGTCTTCAGTAATGTCATTATTAACTTGGTTTTCGTAGATTTGTCTGGGCCTCTGGAGATATATCATAAACAAATATAAGGATTGTTTTTAATAAATTTGTCATGCTTGAAAGCAGAGTTGAATGGAGCCACTATTACTGTGAAAACAATTTTATGTAAAAACACCGTTGTTAGCAGTGTATTACTTACCTAAAATAATTTCAGGAGAATGAGACTGTTGATAAAGCATTCACAGAGCGCATTGGTCCAGCATTAAAGACAGAAATTGTGATGCTGCGACAAAGTTTGACCTATATGTTGAACACTTTCTGGGATCAAATGTTTTCTTTACGAGAGCTCAATAATAAAGTTATTTTGCAGTTGACAGCATCTAGTTGTGATGTTTTGAACGAAGTAAGTTTAATTTACAAAAACCTTGTTCTCGTTTAACAGTGAATTTTTTCCTTTCGACCATGACTGAATTTTAGAATGAATGAAAATTTTCTGGAATAGTTCTAATTATGGTACTGAAACGCGTAAGATCATTTTAAGTTTAAGCTTAGTAAACATTTTATGAATTTTCTGAATATCATTTGAACCCATGCTTACATGCTAGTATAACCGGATTCTAATATATTTTTGCGCGGGAATGTTTGTTTTGGTGACGCTAAGTGATAAATAGAACGGCGTTATCCTCTAATAGTAACTTAAATGTGTCTCACACTGTACAGGAGTTCAGTGAGCTTTCTCTTCACAGGTTTTATTATTACAATAATCTAATTTTTCAAAAAAGACTAAAAATATCGAACTTATTGCTCATATTGTTACTTTCTTCGAGATGGATTAGTGTAATAATACCTATAGACATTTTTTGTAAAGCATTTTATTTAAATGAAGAAATGGAAGATTATTTCAGAAACTTTCTGCTATGGATGTTTTAAATTTAATTGATGTGAAAGTTGGGAAACTCTCATCTATTCTCATGCATCATTTTTGTAAGAGATTGATTGCTGCAAAAGACCCTACAGAAATTATTATTTGTCGTGATGGTACTACTTCCTCGCAGCACGAATATGTGGTACGTAAGGAAGCACCGGTAGAAGATGGAAAGAGAAAATGCTCTGACCCAGAAAAAGTTCTTTGGTAAATACTTGAAAATCATCATTTTTAATTTGGATATTTCCGGAGACTCATTATATACCTTTATGCAGAATAGAAATTTGTTTATGGTATAAAATTTAAAAGACAGAAAGTTGAATTAAATTTTCAATTTAGGGTTCAACTATCCGTGTTTGGGAAACTTTAATAGTGTTGCAACATCAAAATATCAAACTCCAAAGACAACTTCTTTTTCCTTTATTATCCGTTAAATTGAATTTGTGAGAGAATGAGATATATAAAAAAATATTTTGTACGCGCGTTCCTGATACATTACGTTTAAAATGCTTAAATTGCAGTGCAATGCTGGAGTTATTCAAAAATCTAGGCAGAAATCTCGGTGCAATGAAGGCAAATGGAAAAAATATAGTGCAACTGATTGGTGATAAAATATCAAACGAAATCGTTGAATCGTTAGTCCGTGAATGCCTTACACCTGCTATTCCCTATGATTCAAAAGATATGCCTGCATTTGAGGCTCTTTTGGCATCAACAGATCAATTTGGTGAAGAGATGAAGGTTTCTTATTCAAATCCTTTCCTATTATTGTTAATTTTAATCAGAAGATAAGACGATATATCATTCTTAATTTTAGCATTTATATTTCAGAAACTAGGATTTTTCACAAATTCAACTAAGTCTTTCCGTGAATTTGCTGAAAATTACGAAAGCACGTTCATTAATCGACGGTGCAGCAAGATTATTGGCGAAGCACGAAACCTTATTGAAGCGCCATTAACAGAATTTGTTTCAGTATGTACTTTTTTCCATTTCGATTAGTGCATTTTGACTAAGAGATCACAAACATTTTCGTGGACATCTGCATTCGTATCGGTAATCATCGATTATCGTATTTTTCCTGTATTAAATGTAGCTAATGCATTGATGGGTACTTCTAGTCTTTAATTCGCATTTATATCTGGATTTGGATGAAAAAACCATGAGGCCTTCAATACTAGTGGTCGAATTATCTTATAGGTTGGTAGCAGTTCGAACACGGATGACGATGAAACTGTTGAAGAATTTGTTAAACTTGGATTACGCAAACCAGAGGAAACTGATGAAAATGAGGAACATTATCCAAAATTGATGCGGTTGGTGAGCTGTCAAGTGAGGTGCGATATTCTATTATTTGTTTATCACATAGCACTTTGTTTTTACTCAAGAAGTCTCTTTATATTCTTATAAATATTACTTTTGTGGATATAAGATTCGTTGATAATAGTTGCTTTTAATACATATATATCTGATTCTATTTTATTGTGTCAGTTCGGTATTTTACTCGATACTATTGGGAACTAGTTAGATTTCGTCTATAATGGCACGTTTAAATATAGTTTTAAGTGGTGTCATTGATGTTGCACGTTTTAGGGGTTTAAAATTCATTGTGAATTCCTAAAATAATACATAGTTGTTCTTATTTTAGTAAAACAGCTATCGACATAACAGATTTAATAATAAGAACTTTGGATGATGCAGCAAAAGCAGATTCTGCTTCAGCAATGGCTAAGATTTTACAAACTGCCCGTAATATAATTGAACTTTATGCGTGGACAGCACCCCGAAAACATGATTCAGAAATCTCTATGGTCCCTATTTTGGCAGGTTAGGATTTTATTTTTCGATAATATTTTATTTTTTGAATATCACGTTATATCAGAGTTGTTCAGATACTCGTTGCAATTTGCTTGTCATTAGTACAGGCATTATTAAATATAAAAAGTCAGTTATCATCTTTGCAAAGGAGGGTTGTGACGCCAACCTCTTATTTTTTTGACATACTTGTTTGGGTTTTCAGCGGAATGTTTTTTCATAACATCCACTTAATTATGGTAGGACATGTGCTAAATCTTTTAGATTTTGTCGCAGACTGATGTAATCTAAAGATGTAGGAGCTTTTTATTCCTGATGAATCTGGGAATTATTGAAAAAAATGATTACTTTGTGTGATTATTTATTTTTATTATATTATTTTTTTTTAGATTCATAGTGACTTGAGACATTATTTTCAACCTTTAAGAGTACTTTGCATAGATTTGACAGTTTTGTTCCGAATTTTTCAGCAATATTTTACAACAATTGTTATTATATATGTCATCGATTAATGATTATAACGGTCGAAATATTGCCGAAAATACGCGATGTTATGCAGGTTGTGTTATTATTGCTTTTATTTCTTACATAAGATTTTCAGCTTATTTACTCCTGCACTTTTAATTTTTGTCCTCTCTAACTTAACAAAAGTATTGCAGTATTATTTGTGTTTAGCGTCTCTCCCTCCATAGTCCTCCATAGATAACTAAGTAAAATAAAACATGCGAAACTAAATCGTGCATTCTTGGGTATTCCTTGCGAACACATGTGCTTAAAACTTTTACAGGCTAAAAATCTATCCATTTCCTTCACGGATTTCATTCCAAATCTTCGTCAAATTGCTGCGGAATCAATGGAAAAACAATTAGCACAATGTCGTCGTCAGATTTCCACTCTATTGGCGAATGATAAAAGTTAGCATGTCTGCATATTCTTTTATATGTTGCCGGCGGACAAAATGTAATTTCAATCTATTTTAAAATTTTCTCAGCAACTCAACGGCGGAAGTTTTCCAGTTTTTTTTGGCTTGGATGACGTTTCACAATATGAAAAATGCATGAAATGTTTGGATGGATGTATGATCAATTTAGAGCAAATTTCTGGTATTTGGAGAAAGGTGAATTTATTAGCTGTTTTGGTTTTTTGGCTGCTACTAGTTTTGTTATGTCCTCTTTAACCGAAAATTCTTTTCTTTTATAAGTTTTACTAACTTAAAATTTATGCCTATGGCATAAATGCTCTTCAAAGAAATATATTGGACAGTGTCCTGCACCATAAGTAGCTGTTTATTCTTTTAATACTGTTAGTTAGGAAACAGAAAAATGCTGTAAACCTAAATGACGACATTAACAGGATTTTATAATGAAAATTTGATAGGAATTCTTTTAAAATGCAGTTTTCGCAGGTTCTAACGAAAACAGTTTATGCAAACTGTGTTGGCAATATCATTTCTTTTTTCTTCAATGCATTGGTCAAAATGTTGATGTCTACGGAAGATATTCGAGCAACTGATGCTGAACTAAGTGCTATAGCGCTGAGGAAGGTTTTGAAGAGATCGGAGATGTTATTTGTTGTAAGTTTTAGCTTATTATAGTTTAATCATTTGGTTATTCCATCATTAAAAAATTTGGAATTCATCAAGTAATGCAAAAAAAATTTTCACGAATCATGGACAAGAATGAAAATATTAGATATCTCAGTGATCTGGTTTTTTTTAAACTGGTATTCAATAATTATGCCTTTTTTAATCTCGGAAATAAGTGCCAGTTATTTCATCGAAGCTTTTAATGTTTTGTCAATTGGTTTCTGATATCGGTGTTGGCAATAACGGTGTCCTATTTCGTTTTAAGTAATATTTCTATTTATCAATGGAGAATATCAAACAGCTAAGAGAATACTTTTTTAGATTGAACAGTCAAAGCATTCTTCTATCCACAGATATGCCGAAGTTTCATATTTCCGCATTAAGGAGTTATTGTTTTGCCTGGACTCATCTTTACAGGTTGTTGTTTTGCCTAGACTCACCTTTACATTTTCGTTTGCTCTTATTGATACATATGAAGATATGAACAAAAGTTGGACTGGCATGATCATGGAGTCGGGAACGGCAACGCATTACATAATTCATTAATTTAGAATATTTATGATCGATGGTGTGATGGAAAAGGACCTCTGGCGCAGTGGTTACATGCAGATGAAGTGCGTCATTTGGTGAAAGCTTTGTTCCAGAATACTGAAAAAAGGGCTCAAGTGTTATCGAAGATTAATTGACTCCGCGATGAAGGTTTTAGATGATGTCAGGAAAGTGGTTCCATCATTTGTGGAGCGGTTCTGAAGATGATTAGATATCTGTTTTGATGTGTTTTGTAATAGAAAGCTGTGAACCTTGATTTATCTGCACATATAATTCCAAATAAACTTTTAATTTCTATGGCTTACTACTAAGCACTACCCTGTTTGCAGTGCGTCGCTTTTCAACAATGTATTCATATTTTTTATCTGTTTATCTAGTAAAAGACACATTGTTAAATGCGTAGGTATCTTCTTTTAATTATGTTGGAAAAAGAGAGGATGATGAAGTCGATCTTTGTATAGCTTTAAGTTGGAAAGAAGGTGGCTATCGTCCAACATTTTGTAAAATGGCTGGGTCTTATCTGTTTAGATTATTCTAAGTTCACTGAATGTGGCCACAGGTAACACACATCAGGAATTGCTGGCAGTGACTGACAATGGTGCTAAGCCGAAGCAAGCGCATTCCGCTAAATATCAAATCAGTAAGATCGAACATTTATTGTTTTACCTTGTCAAATCTTAATACTTTCGTCAATTGACATTAAGAACTTGGCATTAACCAGGCACCAAAGGCCAGTTTCGACTAGTGAAGTGAATGATAGAAGAAACAAAGAAATTTACTCAAAATGGTTTGTAAAACCAATTCTTAAGAGTTATTTAGTGTTATCGCATAAATTTGCAGTTTATTGTGAATTGGAAGAATTTTGCTACAACACAAACTGATCCGATTCCTTCCTACCGGATAAAACCATTGGAAAAAATCCGGAATATAGGTTTGTTCTTGTTTCGTACAGTTTCCTTTAGAAATGAGGGGAATACATCATAATGTACTTTCGACAGGTTGGCAGTATTTTGAAATTCATTTTATAAAATTTTCAGGCATATCTGCTCATATTGACTCTGGCAAGACTACTGTTACGGAAAGAATTCTATACTATGCCGGTCGGATTAAGGAAATGCACGAAGTATGATTTTAATCAAAACGTCCATTAGTATTTGGACTGTTATATTGCACTTGTTCACAGAAACCAGTGTTTCATGTTAAGATAACATTAAGTGAAGATATCCGTTAAAATTAATGAGGCTTAGTAAGATTCAGTAGCTCTAGGCATTATTTTGAGGTTTTCTTTCTAACATACCTCTTTCTAACACTTATTTGCTGTATTTGCTGGCCTTTCATATTTTTCTTATAAGAAAATATTACTTTCTTGAATGGTTTTTTTACTGAACAATTGTACATAAAAATTTCCAGTATTATGAAAAGTACGATCTAATTAAATAAAATACAAACTGGTACTTAGTATGAACAAAGACAATGGAGAGAAGATATTTTTGCATTCATTGTGAGTAATAGTACAATAATTGTCAATTATTGTTTTAATGTTATGCAGCACAATTGCTCAGCTTGTTTGAAAATCATTTCGGTCTAATTTATTTTCATGATATATTTACATTTATTATTCATTAAAGTCATTGATAGGGGAAAAGCAAAATACACATTTTAGGTGAGAGGAAAAGATGAGGTTGGAGCAACAATGGATTTTATGGATTTGGAAAGGGAACGAGGAATTACCATCCAGTCAGCTGCAACTTATGTTGATTGGAATGGTGTAAATATCAACATTATTGACACTCCAGGTTTTTCATTTCTTTAAGGTTTAATTAAGAATCTTCCATAAAAAATGATCTGAGCTTTTTAAAGTTCTAGATTAGAATTATATGTTGTATGTATTTCATTAACAAGATGAAATTAGGACATGTTGATTTCACGGTGGAAGTTGAGCGAGCTTTACGTGTGCTGGATGGCGCTGTGTTAGTACTGTGTGGGGTTGGAGGAGTACAAAGCCAGACATTTACCGTGAATCGACAATTAAGACGCTACAATGTGCCATTTATTACGTTTGTCAACAAAATGGATCGAGTTGGTGCAAATCCGTTCAAGTACTGTGTTAAAACTCATTTTATGTTATACATTTAAGTATTGTCTTATAACATGTCGTATAACATTTGTTGCAGAGCGTTAAGCGACATGCGAACAAAGTTGAAGCATAATGCAGCTTTACTGCAAATCCCAATCGGAAAAGAACATGATTTCAAGGTTTATCTGTATCAGCTGATTTTTATACAATATATTGGCAGAGAATGTCCAAGTGGAGTCGATATTTTTCTGCTTTAGAATTGTTGCTTTTCGAACACAGCATTGGCTGATATTATTTTGGTTAACCATCCTTGATTGATTTTTGGAAACGATACCTCTCCCTAATAGAGGGATACCTTTTATTCTGAGGATGAAAAGACATCTCTTTACGAGATTCAAATTAGGGAACATCCATTACCATATATGCCTTATACACTATATTTAGGGCATCGTAGATCTCATCGAAGAACAAGCAGTGTATAGCGAAGATTTTTATGGAAATACGTTAAGAAAGGATGAAATACCGGCTGAACTACGGACACAAGCAAAAGATATGCGTCAAGAATTAATAGGTAAAACGAACGATTTCTGGTTTTGTGACGTGCAATCGTTCACCCTAATTTTTAATTTTTTTAATTTCTGTCTTTTTAACTTAATATTTTATCTTTGCATTATAAGATGCAAATTAGAAGGAAGAAATTTCAATTATGCAAAAGTCTAGCAATTTTAATGCACAGCTTGTTTCCATTGATGTGTTTTATGTTTGTCTCTTATGTCGTCACCTCGCTCTTCTTATTTTCTTCAAATAGGAAAGAACATTTTTTGCTGATTAGTACCATGATCAAAATGTATCGTTAGCGATGTTTTCTTGTACCATAAAATTACAGAACATCTTGCAAATGGCGATGACCTTATTGCGGAACAGTGGCTTGGTGATGTTTCACCAACTCCATCTCAGATTCATCAGGCTGTTCGTCGAGCTACAATCAAGAGAACCTTTGTACCTATGTTTGTTGGCACTGCATTAAAAAATAAAGGCGTTCAATCGATGATCGACGCTATTGTTCAGTATTTGCCCAATCCGTCGGAAGTGGTGAATCGAGCTTCAATCTTAAATAAAATGCGAGTATTTGCGAAATCTCAAATGTTGCAGTTTTATGAGATTTAAGAAATTGAATTTAAAATCATAACTTTGAAGCCTTTATCTTTTATTTTTGCTTTAACTTCATATTTCTGTATTCTTCAATCTTTCATGAGCCACAATTTGTTTGACTTAAACTTACTTTCTCATTAAATCCTTCTCTTAAACCATCTACGAAAATTTTTTAATATTTCAGGACCGGGAAAGAGGAAAAAATTGTGCTGAATCCAGAGCGCGGTAATAGTCATCCCTTTGTTGGTCTTGCATTCAAACTAGAGGTTGAATTTTCGGTGTTTTTTGATATTTGATTAATTTTTCCTAAGATCTAAATTTATTACAGCAACTTTCTGTCTGGTTTTGTAAAAATATTTTTCGTTTAAAGGTATGTTTTAGAAAAATAAATATTGGGATTCATGATTGACGTATTTTATAGGCTGGAAAATTCGGGCAACTAACTTATTTTCGTATATATCAAGGACAGTTGTGTCGTGGTGATACAATTTACGCTTCAAAAGATGGCAGGAAAGTACGCGTACAAAAATTAGTACGAATACATGCTAATTCATTGCAGGTAAGATTTAATCTTTTTTTTTCAAAGAGACTGCTTTTAAAATAATTCAATATTATGCTTTTTTAAAAAAACCTTTATTTCTGCACACAGGAAATCGACACTGCATTTGCTGGTGATATTTGCGCCACGTATGGTCTAGAATGTTTTTCGGGTGAAACATTCTGTGGCGAGAGTGATTACGAAGTCTACTGCGTAAGTTTGTTTCCTTGCTTGAATGCTTATTATTTCATCTGAAGAAGTAACGGAGAATATTATTCCACTGCTCTACATTCTAATGGTAATCTTAAGAGTTGCATTTTTCAGGAATCAATGCACATTCCGGAACCAGTAATTTCAATGTCTATTCGATGTATAAACAATAAAGATGGCGAGAAATTCATGAAAGCTTTAAATCGTTTTACTAAAGAAGATCCAACATTCCGTAAGGAATATAATACAGAGGCGCGAGAAACCGTAGTTTCTGGAATGGGCGAATTGCATTTGGTGAACATTCGAAATTTTCACTTTGATAATTTTATATTGGTGCTTTATATTCATTTTCTTCACCGTCATTTAGGAAATCTATTCTCAACGCATGAAAAACGAGTTTAATTGTCCTGTTGTACTGGGCGCACCAACGGTTGCTTATCGTGAAACTCTTGCGAAGCCATACAAGTACATTAATTTTCATTCGCTGTGTTATTTCCTTCATCGTTCATCAAATTATGCATATATGAAAAAAAAAATTATTAGTGACAAAGTCGAATCATTTGTTCGAAACCGAATGAACTTCTGAAATTTTTTAACGTCAGAACTTTAACTTTTCTATTAATATTTCTGGTTATATCAATGTGTTAAAATATTTCATAATGTCATTATACTTTGTTTCAGTTGAACATTAATTCTCTCTTTTAAGATTTTATTATCGGCATAAAAAGCAAACTGGAGGTCAGGGGCAGTTTGGAGAAATTGAGGGAGTAATGGAACCGCTGCCACCGAATCGGAACATGGAAGTTGAATTTGCTGATGAAACAATTGGAAGCAACATACCTAAGCAACTTGTTGTTCCGCTAAAGAAAGTAAATTCTACTAATTGCTAAATTTTAATGGTAGTTTTGTGATTGGTGTAAGATTGAATTAAAACTGAAAATCCGATTATTCTAGAGAATTTTCAGGGCTTCAATCTGATGTTGGATGAAGGTCCATTGATTCATGCCAAAATTGCCGGAATAAAAATGCGGCTTCAGGATGGTAAAACACATGAAGTTGATTCAACTGATATTGCCATGATAAATACCATGCAGAATATGATGAGAGAAGGTAAGTAGAATGAATTTTTTTACTAATATAATTGATGGGTATATTACCTAATTGAAAGAGTTATTTGTGTTTTTTTTTGTCTGTAAATTTCAGATTTTCATCATAGTGACCAAGTTTAACTTTTTCGATGCCTTTCTTCATTACTATGGGTATTAGTACCTATTCTGAATATTAGACGCTTTCTCTACAACTTAAAAAATTATACTGATATTCGATATCTCATTTTGTCCTTATATTATAAACAAAAAATTTTCAGCATTTTTGAAAGCTGAGTGGAAATTGTTGGAGCCTATAATGAAAGTGGATATAACTATTCCAGAGGAGTTTCAGGTAGCACGAGTTTACATTTCCGATTTATTTTTTCGCCTAGTTAATTTTTACTACTGCAATAAAATTAAAATATTTAGAATTCAATATCGAGTACGCTGTCATCGGGTTCTATCCTGTTGGATTCATCGCTTTCCGGTGATTATTTAACGCTTACATGTGAAGTAAGACTTTTTGTTTGCACATAGTGAAATTAGAGCATTTCTTAACATCTAAATTGAGATAGAGCATCAGACAAATTATTTAAAGTTGAAATTAATTTATAAATTATTAAATCTGATTTCTTGTCCGTTTGGGAGTTTCTTTGAAGTATGCGAGAAGTTATTTAACTTATCTCTTTCTTTCGATATTTCATTCCCGTTATTCTCAATTATTTTAGGCTCCTCTAAGAACAATGTTCGGTTACTCGACGAAGTTGCGAACAATGACAAAGGGGAAAGGAGAATATGTGATGGAATTTGCCAGGTAATTTAAGCAAATTAACGTTTTCCTTAACTGCAATTGTAACGTTACCTTTATCCATTGATTTATTGAGAATGTTAAATGCGACATCAGTGAAAAAGAAAGTATTGACTCAGTTTTTTTAGATCCTGACTAAGAATAAAAGAGTAATATATCTTACTGGTGGTATTTTGTAATTTTTCTTTTACGAGTAGTATATAATCTTTTTTTTTGATTCCACAACTTATACTAACCCTTTTGTTTTGCTGTTTGATTAAAAAAAAAGAAAAAACTCTTATTTGTCCAATCAATCCTATCGATCTCTTGAAAGGTAAATACTTCCGAATATGTATACCAACTTCTTCAACGTGAGCGAAAGTGTTAGCTGCCATGTCATTCTATTCAGTCCATCTCCCAGTCAATCAAATTATCGAAGGCTAATTTTGACTACTTAGGTATGCGCCATTGGCTCAGGATATCCAACAACAAGTTATAGGAGAGTGGAAAGAAGCGCAAGAAGCGGGTGAAAAGGGAAGTGAAAGAAAAAAGAAAAAATAAAAATAGAAGAAGAGATATAAATATGTAATTGTCTTGAAATGTCGGAAATATTAATTTTAAATCTAACAGAAATTATGATTCGTACTTATTCATATTTTTTCTGTAAATCTACGAGTAATGTAATGGAGTATATAATTGGTAAAGAATGATATGATTCGACACGTTGAGCTTCATTTTAATCCATCAATATATTGTTGGAGAATCCTGAAAACCTGCAATTACCGTTGCTTGACTAAATCGATGAGACATAGACAGACATCAAAGAAATATTGTGAAGTATTGTTCTTATTATTGTCATATGTTGATCTATTGGATTAAAAGATGTTTAGTTTTATACGTTTTCTGTTTGCTGAGTTATGCATATTTCAAGATGGTAAAATACTTGCTCAATAAATTATGTCGGCATTCCAATAATTCAAAACAAAACTTATGTCTTGCCCAAATTTGTGTGTGTAGCTTGTTTGTTTATATCTTTCTATTATTATCCGTGAAAAATCCAGAAATCTCTCTCATCTAAATGTATTTCATGATTATGCTGGTCATGTGCAACTTTCTGAGCGATAGAGTTGAAAATTTATTTTCAATTTCTCACTTTATAGCTCACTAACAGTCATAGTTAAGTGAACGAATGTGATAAAGCTATAAAGCAGAAGGAGAATAATACATAACGTTGGCCTGAAGACGATTACGAGTGATATGGAAGGTAGTGATGAATCCCATAATCATTCGTATCCATCTGATCTGATTTGAATTTAGCGGTGTAGATCCCCTAAGAATGTTTGTTTTGGATGGTATAATCGCCAGATATCATATCGTGGCACAAGAACCATTTCATCTGGAACTATTCCGTCACTGGTTACATTTCTCCAAGATGAAAACATAATTTTTGTAGAGAGTTCCTCGAAATAGGGATTGTGAAGGATTCATTTTTGTTTTCGCGACCCGTTTTTCATTTCTCTGAATAGTTTATTTGCTTTGGATCATCCTTGCAAAAATATTTCCCTTTTTCAACCCATTTTTTAGACTACTTTTAAATATACAATATCGAGCATATTATTCTCTAATAGGTATAGGATATGGTAATGTCAAAGTGTCTGTTAATAAATGAAATGGATTAAAAAAAGTTTGAAACAAACTTTCATACAATCTATGTTTGTCTGAAATACTATCCTGAAAAATTAGAGAAAAGCACTCTACAAAGACAAACATATTAAGTTGTATGCAAGTTTAATAGACCATTTATGGTCAATGCATTAAAAGAGGTTGTGAACTTGACAAAACTTTTTTTATTTACAATAAAGAAGTTCGAATAACCCATATTGAAATTTTGCTGTTTAACTTCTAACCAAAGTTAATTCAAAAAAAGGGAATCGATAAAGGACTGTAGCGCTATCGGAATCTAACAGACAAACCTTAAAGTGAAAATCTAGGAATGATGCAAGTGAAGCATCCTGAATCTACTTTCATTAATTTTCCAAATCTAAATAGTTGGCAGCTCACCTGTCGTACTTATCTGATAATGAATAAAGGTAACCTTCTTATAAACATCCGTTTTTAATGAATTAATTTGTTTTTTTCTTCAATAAATGCAATTAAATGAATTTAAAAAATTTTTTAAAATACATTTTATTGTTTTTAAGGAAAAAATAGTTATAATACCTTCAGTTAAGCCCATTGGATGAAAATCTGTGAAATGTGCGTAATTGCTGCGCTTTAATGGTCGTCCAGGACGTAAACTGTTACCTGTAATACTTTTCCTTTTATTTTAGTTTGTTTTAAAATTATGATGCAAATATCTTATCATTGATAATATCTCAGCAGTGACATCAAAATCTTAAAAAAATAAATGTTTGAGAAAATTAATTATATTTTCACTTTGTCTCCTATGTAATCACTAATTAAAAATATTTTTTATAACAATGAACTCATTTGTTAGCCTTAGTGAAAAGGCAGAATTTTCTTATTTCCTTAGCCAATGTTAAATTTCAAACTTTCATACTATGCCTATGATTTAATTATCAGTATAATTTAATTCTTATAACTTATTCGTTTAATATTATAATTAATATTATGCCTAATTAAGAATATATCAACTTGAAATATCATTATTTGTTATACAGCAAAGTTAGGATAATACTTTGAAAAAAAAGAAATCCTTTTTCGAAAATAAAATCAAAAATTTTCCTTTCAAGTTAAGGAATAAAGTTTAGCTGGTATTAGCGAATAAGACAAAAGATGAGTGATAAATGATTAAGTTAGTTTTAATTAGAATCTTTTTCTATGCATAATTTTCTTAAAGATACTGCATGAAACGTTGCATGCACGATAAACATGCAGCGTTTTTGTGTCTTTAAAAAAACATTTTCTTTTATGCAACATTTTTATTAATATATTAATTAAAGTTTTTCATATATAAATAATTAATAATTTGTTTTAATTTTACGAACAAAAAATATATGAATTATTCATAGAAATATAAATGCTAAATAACTTTTATTTTATATTATATTCATTTAAAATGCATTATACTTTTTTTAAATTTTCTATTATAAAATTTATATATTTGAAAGATTTCACAAAATTATGACTGAATTTCATTTGTCAATTTTATGCTAAAAACTTAAACAAATATGATAAAGTTCATAACCTATGTAATGAACCCTTTCAACCCGTGATTTGGGCTTCCATTCACTTTTTACCGATAATCCATCGATACTGGTTGTAATGAAGAATAATAGGAAAGTTATCAATTGTATCTTTGTCATATACATTAATTGCAGTAAAGCGCTCTTTTATATACCCTTAATATTCATTAATTATAAATTAACGAAATCAAATTAACAATACATATGATATATGTGTATGAAAAATTATGGTGACAGTTGATGGATTAAATTTATAATTTTTTTTTGAATTATTAAAGTAAATTTATCATACAATATGAATATAATTGATTTTCAATAAAAATGCAAAATTTGACAGCTTTAGCGAAACATTACTTGGCATAAAAGTTGTTCATTTTAATTAATCAATAAATTATCGCTTTTTTAAAATACGCTCATTAGTTTTCAGTTTATAAAAAAATTTGCCCAAATTAGGTATCAAAGAAAGGTAAGGCAATTTTAGATGAATACAGAGAAGTGTGAAAGTTTGTGAAAAAAGGATTTAAATAAAAATAAAAGAAGCGGCAATGATGAAAAAGAATGTTTCCAATTTTTTGTTTTTATTTCTTTATTTCATTTCCCTTTTTTGTGCTTTCAAATTTTCACAAAATAGTAAAGCTTAATAAAATTAATAAAATAATGAGTGCAAATTAATTATTATAATTATTATTCTTAGAAACTAAATATCTTATCAAATTATGTAGAAAGGAAAATGTTTTAAGAATTAAATTGCTAATTAAATAAATGGTTCCTAAATTATAGTTAGAATTATAAAGAAAAAAATCTGAATAAATATTTGTTAAGATTAATTAATAAAAAAAGAGAAGAGAATAAATGAAATATAATTTAAGCCATGTAATCATAAGAAGTATTAAAAGTATTTTTGATATCTAACAAGCTGATGGTGGTAGTATAAAATAAATTTGTTAAAATGACTGGAAACAGATACCATTTGAATCCTTTGATAGACTAATGCTTTGATCGCATATATTTTGTGGTAAATACGAAAAACGTATCTTAGATTTTTTCACGCTTTATTTATTTGCTTGATGAAAAAAAAGAGGTGACATAATTCTTTCAGTTGAAATTCCATTAACAAATCCATTTCCTTAAATTTCCTTTTCAAAATTTTAGTCGGAACTTTTATTTATAGCAAATGGATTTTTTATTTTTCATAGCTATGAACAAATTTATTTGCAAATATTAACTTTCTAACATAAATTTGGCAATAAATTTTATTTATTATATTTTTATTAGAAATGTGAAAATATGAAAAAATTAAATAAAACGAAGATATTTTAAAAGATATCAATTATTTTAATTTTTTTTTGGAACAATTTCATACTAATAAATTTTGCAAAATAAATTATTTTAACAAATAAATTTCAGTGATTAATGTAAATTGAAACGTTAAATTTAAAATTATTTGTTTTATTAGTGAGCTTAGGTTAAGTTGTGACAGCTAATATTTGCGATAGAAATTTCAAAAAAAACAATGGATAATTGAAATATTAAAGTTTGGCAAGGTATAGTAAGCTTTTTAAATATATATAGTAAGCTTTTTAAATTACTTTTTCAAATTTCTTCATAGCGTAATTTATTTATGCTTTTTTAAATATCATTTTTAATTTATATAATTTATATAATTCCATTTTTTGGATAAGATAATTGATTTCATAAATATAATTCAGTGATTATTAAATATAGCAATAGCAACCAGAAGGTTAAGTTTTATTATAAACTTAAGCGAATAAACTTAACCTTTTTTCTGACCTCTTTACAATCTTTTTCCTAACCTTTCTATGATTTAAGTATTTTTTTTCTTTTGTTTCCATAGATAAATTGTGCTGCAATATACAATTTTGTTTTCAAATATCCAAAATGTTGCAAAAAGGCTGATGACTGATTGAATTGGAGAAATTTTGAGCCGATGAAGAAGTATTTATTAAGAAAACGATACGAAAGAAATCGAATTAACTTCATTAACTAAATTCATTTGCTAATTGTTAATTGATATTAATTACTTGCTAAGGTATTAACTAACCAAATAAAAATTGCTAAATATAGCGTGAAACTTCAATTTCTATCGCAATTCTTACTGTATTTGCTAAAGGTATGTATGTTGCTGAAATAATTAAAATGAAATAAAAATGATGAATGAATACATTTAAGGTATTTCAGGTCAAAAAAATTTTGCTTCTATCAGTTGATCATATTCAACTATCTTTTCAGCTACAAAATTTAAATTAGCTAAACTGTTCGAGAATTATTATTATGATACTAAAAGAATATAAAAATGCATTTATTATATTAGAAATAATACTGCTTAGAGTAAGTATTGTATAAATTGTAAATTGTAAAATAGATTGGAAGATTAATAATGATAAAATTATTTAACAATAAATAATAATTAATAATAAAACTGCTAATCACAGCAAAAACATATTCTGACATTATTTGTTTTTGTAATTGTCCTAAATAGGAATTATTCTTGGAGTATATTCATAAAGCGATGAACATATAGAAATTATATTTCACTTTGAAAATTTCAATTTATAAAGCAGATCCTGCATAATTGCATTTTTTTTCCTATAAATCTAAAATTATTCAGTTAAATCATGCAGTTAAGCAAATATTTCCTCCATTATGCGATTTTTCTTTAATAAAATTTATTGGAAAAGATCGCTATGAAACTTTCATCATAAAGAAAGCATTTATAAACAAAAAAAATTTGATTCAAATAGGATGATATGGGTTATGATAGAGAGATGGTTTCATCCGATACTATCTATATCCTCTACTTTACTCATCATCGATATAACAATCCATAAAAAATTCAGCATAAATATATGGATTCTAAGAGGCCTCGTGGCGCAATGGATAACGCGTCGGTCTACGGAACCGAAGATTGTAGGTTCGACTCCTGCCGAGGTCGAGAATCATCCGTTTTCTGTGATAAGTTAGCACCAAGGTTTTCCCACTTTTTTTCAAATATAAGTTGAATTAAATTATTGATCGTATTAATATAATAAATATGTCTTTGTGTCTCCATACCAATGATTTTTCATCTGGTTCTCACCTGGTACATTACGGGCTACGTTGGGCCGTGTTACATTCTGCGTCTTTGACTTCATTTGTGAGAGAGGTCGTTGCAACTTTGGACGGTGGTATGGCATTGTCAGGTTGAAGTTTCTTTTATTTCTAACTGTACGATTTTTCTCAGTGTTATTATCGGTCGTATTATTTTTTTGTACTATGTATTACTTTTTATCATATTGTGTGTGCTACTGCTTTTTTGCTGTACAATTTAGAGAATTTTTTTTTTTTGTTCGTGACAATTTAGAGTGTTAATTTTATCGCAGTTTGATAACTTTTTCTTGCCTAATTGTCACCGTACAATGCTACTTTCTCTTACATCACGAAATAATTCGTTTTACTTGGAACTTTTGCAGATAAAATGGGACACAAAGATAAGAGAAAAAGAAAGCATGAATGCAAACATCATAGTGAGAAGAAAAAGAAAAAGCGACAGAAACATCATGAACGTAGTTGCTCAAACTCCGATTCTGATAAGGTGTTGTTAATGTTTCTTAACATCTTCTTACATGACTTTTTTACAGATTGAACTTTCCACTATAGTAGTGTTAAATATCGCAATTAGTGTTACCATTATTCGCACTTCAGCTAAAATCCTTATATCATTGAATTATTGTTCTATATTTCGGTTATGAATGATTGAGAAACTTCTAAAATGAATCCATAAAACTCATTGCTGAATTTAAATGGTGAGACTTAATTACATACCGTAATACATTTTTGTAATCAGGCCATTTTTCAGGATAACCGGTTTGATCAACGTTTGAATGCATTACGAGAAGAGAAGAAACAGAAGAAAAAGAAAGAAAAAGAAAAAAGGAAGGCGATAGAAACTCCGGAAGAGAAAAAAGCAAGACGTTTAGCGAAAAAACTGAAGAAGGTTTGTGATTTTAACGTCCAATGAATGAAAATTGTTCATTATGGACAGCTTCTTTCCATGAATTCCAAAAACTAGGACAATAACGATCTAGATATCTTTTGTGTGGCTCTGTTGTTCCACAGGTAAGAAATTTTATTTCTTTCAAGCTTGAGATTATCAGAAAGTCTTTCATCAATGATTTGAAGGCAGAAAAAGAATCAGCTGTTGTGTTCGACGATGAAGCCAAATACACAAATAGCAATAATCCATTTAATGATCCGAACTTAACTTCTACTTTTATATGGACGAAGAAATTAGCAATTGAAGGCAAGGCTGATTTGTCACTGAAACAAATTGAAAAAATGTAAGTTAAGTAGTTACAAATTACGGTGTGATCATATTTCAGTTCAACTGGTTAATCAGGTATTCAAGAGGATACAGTGTTTCTATAATTTTTGTTAGATTAACTAGCTGATACTTATTGACTAAAGTAGTGAATAGTCATCATAACTAAGCTTTATCCTTTCTTTTTTATTAATGGAGTTGAATATAGGAACAGAGATCGTACGCTAAAGAACTTAGCAGAAATGGAAGAGCTCAAAAGAAACAGAGAAGCACGAGATGCAGCTCGGGAAGATTTGGAAATGATCAAAAGGGATGAAGAAAGGCGGCACAATTCAGACTGGTATGCAACAGAAGAAGGATTCTTACTCAGTCAGGCTAAACTGCGTACACAGATCAGGCTAAAGGAAGGGCGAGCAAAGCCTATCGATTTTCTTGCCAGGTATTTTGATTTCGATGTTTTTTTAATGTTTTACTTCCCTAATTGAACATATGTTTTAGCTTGATTGCATTTTGTTTTTTTTTTCGCGTACTACAGAGAAGCCTTTCGGAATCACTGGATAATTATTGTCATTTTAATACTTTTAGATATATCAGTTATGATAGTGAGAAGGTCGGAAGCACGAAAGATGAAGAATTCGAGCTTGTCGATCCGATAACGTATTTAAGGGGACTTAAAATTAGGGATTTGGAAGATTTGCTTGAGGACATTAAGGTATTAACATTTTTCTTGATTCCAACAACTTTATATTTCCAAAACCATTGGAACTTTCAGTGGTACACGTTAAACCGTGCTATTTATGTCATTCCTTGTCTGTTTCTATCATTGTGATCATTTCTATCTGCATTATTTTTATAATAGGTTTATCGACGGGTCGATCCAACTGATAATTCAGTTTGGTGGACAGACTTTTGCACGGTTGTTCGATATGAAGTAAGAAAGCTGTCCAATGATGTTAATTCAACTTACGCTAGAGAATCAGTTCATAATTCTGTGCAAAGTGATATTGCCCGTTTATTCAAAGTAAGCGCTGTTTTGCATTCTACCAGAAGGTCATGAACAAATAAACTGTCTTTACAGATTAGCATATTTTTTAACGAGTAGCATGGGTTATAAATTTTTAGAAAAAATACTTTCATGTTGCTTGCTTTAGTACTATATTTACAAATGATTTCGAAAAAATGATAAATGATTTGACAAGTAACAGCGATAAAATTGACTAATACAAATAGCTTTTGTGAAAGAAAATGCCGCAAAGTAGTGTTACAGGGTAAAACTCATCAAGAATTAGCATTGTTGGAGACCCAGATCAAGAAGAAAATTCATAGTGATGAACCTGGTATAGATGTGGAATTCTTGGAATTTACGTTACAACATCTTCATGTACATATGGCGAAAGCTCGTATTCACGAAAGACATCAGGAAATATTACGGTATAAACTGAAAAGGATAAAGGAAGAGCAAAAAGCTGAAAGGGGCAAGTGCGAATGTGAACCTGAACAGGTCTATAGACAGGTGAGACTTTGCTTGATTTAATTTAATTTGCGCAGACCAGAAAATTGTGCAACAGTGGTAAATCTGCACTGATAATTGGGATAAGTATCAGCAGTTTTTCAATTAATTGGTTCCAGGAAAATGGAGAAGGTTCGAGTGGAGTAAAACAGTCAGCTAAGCTAAAAACACTTCCTGTACAACTGGATGAATTGGATACTATGGATGATGATGTTAAGGAACAGCAATGGCGGTATTTTTTGTTTCATTGAAGTTTAATTACTTTTTTTTAGCCAATGTTTTTTGGAATTAACATCAAATTGAAATGAATAAAGGACGTACTGTACACCAAATAGTTTTGCTCAATTTAATGCTAATGTCACTATTTGCGAAAGTTGATCAGAGAGTATGAAGTTCAGAACTCAACGAAATAAGAGTATTTCGTTAAGTTCTGAACCATGTATAAGAACTTTCTTTGTTCTCCAAAATAATAAATTTAGGCTTCTGACGGAAGACGAGATGGAGATTTTAACATTGGAAATGTATGAACATGGTTCCTATAGTCCATCATATGGTGATGAAAAGGAAGCTATGCCTGGTATCGAAATTTTAGATGAAGGAGAGGATATCCAAAAACGTAGGGAAATGATAAGCAAGGCTGAGAGCGGCGTTACGGCGTCCACATCGAATGATCTATCGGTAGTTTTTTATGTTTTTCAAGCTTTTTCAAATGAGGTTTAATATCTTTATCATTCAGCAGTGCTAAATGATACGAATGAAAGAAAATAAATGCTCTGTCAAAAAATACGAGTGGTGGAGGCATTTATTTTCTATATTTATTATTTCTAATCAAAAACTAAAATTACATTTAGTCTATTAGTATTACTGTAGATGGCCGAATCGAAAATGGAACTGATTGCTCGCCGAGGTATGACGAATGATGAGGCAACATTTTCAGTGGAAGCACCTCTTGAAGCACAAACTTTTCTTTGGTCTGAAAAATATCGACCACGGAAACCAAGGTTATCTTTACTATTGCAGTTCTGCCGTTTAATACTTCTTAAATCTTAGGCACAATCTAATTAGCACTAAAGTTGTACAATAATGGTATCAACCATATCCTGTGATTTATGCTCATGAACGATCTGTTGTATCCATGAATTTCAAGATCTAAGAATGAGCTGTATCCATGAGTTCCAAGATCTAACAGTGATCTGCCTCTTGACAAAGATAATCTGTTTTTTCCAATCACATCTAAAACCTGTACAGTCTTTTCAATTACAGATATTTCAATCGTGTACATACTGGATTCGAATGGAACAAATATAATCAGACTCATTACGACATGGATAACCCACCGCCAAAAATTGTGCAGGGTTACCGTTTTAATGTAAGTCATTTATGTTCGGATTTTGAGTTGTTTCTGCACTGCTTAAAAGCTTTTCATTTTTCACTAAGTTGAAGATTAAAAATTAACGTCTAAAAGTAGAAAATATATTGCTTTAGCACTACAAAAACTTTGGTTGCCTGGGGAATGACGGACTCATAATGAGACATTGAAGATTAGTTTGCCTAAAATAGTTTGTAATACTAATTCTGCACAATTTTCGAGTTGTTTGTTCGATCCGAAGGCTGAATTGGATATCGATAATTCATATTTGCCACAGATTTGTGCAGTATACTTTCTGCTCGTATTTTGACAGTATTTGATTCCTGTGGCTTCTCTCATTTTGCATTCAACAGTCATGCGCGTTTGCTGAAACATTAGGTCAAAATCCTTTCCGTAATCTCTCTGAAACCTAAATTTGATTTGTTTTCAGATATTCTATCCCGATTTATTGGATGTCACAGAAACGCCCACGTTTACAGTAACACCATGTGATGACCCGGATTTCGCTGTAATAAGGTTCCATGCCGGACCACCCTACGAAGATATAGCTTTCAAATGTGTTAATCGAGAATGGGAAATTAGCCACAAACATGGTTATAAATGTCAATTTGTTAATGGGATATTCCAGTTATGGTTTTACTTCAAGAGGTATCGATACCGACGATGATTGTTTTTTAAGTTTAAAATGTTTTCAAAGTGTTATACTTGTTATGTTTTAAGTTTAAAATGTTTTCAAAGTGTTATGCTTATTTAGCATATTCTCGTACTAAAATTTTTTAATACTTTGCTTGGTTTTTCGTAAATTTGAAATTAAATATCAAATATGCTTGTATAATTATTTAATATATTTTCGTACTATAATCTTTTGATACTTTGCTGATTCTTCGTAAATTTAAAATTAAATCTCAAATTATCAGATTTTAATTACATAATAAATTATTTCAGTGTTGAATAGATATATTGTTGACGAATTCATTCTACTGCTTTGAATAAAATAATGCTAACGGTAATATGAACTGGAAAAATTAAAATTAAGTATCGGTGGAAAGACTTTAGAAAGTTGTATTGTTGATGCACATATGAGTCTGTCTCGTCCATTAATTTTGATTTTTACGTGAACGGAAGTTTGATCAGTGATCTTCTACCTTATACTTGTGGTTGGACATACACTATTATGGTGAGGAAAAAATTGTCTTAAATAGTTTAAACAAGAAGTAGCATTACTAGGGATGGTGCATCGCATCGAAAGCTATTACTGATGAATGGCTTAGGGTTCGATTCTCGGGTGTACCGGTGATGAGGTGACGATAATTGCTGTTCACGTGGTGATCATGTTTGAAGTGAACGTTTGTCACAAGTCTGAGGTGACGTCCGTATCGTTTCTCGCTCTAAAGTAAAGTATTGCATATAGCGTAAATCTCCTCACACCAAAAAAGTCGAGAAAGAGAAATATAGCCGGAGTGAATGTTCGTAATTAACCTCCGCATACCGTTTTTTACTCCATCAATGTCAGTCAGGTGCGGGAACATGCATATGTCACATAAAGTAAGTGCCAAAAGTCTTTGGCTCGTGAGACTTTGAAATTTATAGCTTTTTTTGTAATTGTCATCTCTTTACATTAACATGTCATAAATGCAGTTGGTAACTGAAATATTTAGTAAATCAATATTGTCTAAAGAGATTAATTGTACATGGGTATCTTCTAGAAAATTTCTTAATGATTGTAAAAATAAATTAAACAATAATATTTCGCTTACTTATTGATTTGTCAAAATTAGTTGTTAGAAAAATAGAGTAAATAATCCGCGAATGCATGATTTCATCATGAAATATAAATTTTGACAATTTAATTTTAATTAATTTTCTTTTTCACCCCCAATAACATGCGGAAAAATATGCGTTGGAGAAACATACGCTTTTATAATCCATATATTGTGTTCTAACAACAAATAATACAATAATTAGAAGTAAAAATATAATCAATATTTTGTTATGTTTATCTCATTTTCTTTTTCCCTCCACAAATTGAATTCATACTTTGAAACAATCCAAATGATTAGAATTCTTTACTATAAAGGTAGATTAAATTATTATAATCAATGAATACTTGCATATATATCCGGAAGTTTAAAAATCCAATCATTTGAGAAATGACAGATAATGATCAGATCACTGGTGCACCACCGGCCTCGTGGCGCAATGGACAACGCGTCGGTCTACGGAACCGAAGATTGCAGGTTCGACTCCTGCCGAGGTCGTGTAGAGTTGGCTCAACTTTTCTCATACGGCTTGGCCTGCTGTTTAGTCTATTTGGAATGCTGAATGATCTTTACATTTCAAACGTAAATTGCAGTCAACCTAAAATGGCAGAGTTTGGTTTGGGAAGTTAAGGGTTAGAGTGAAAAGAGGTTGAGCTGTGTGGTAAGCGTTCAGTAAGTAAACCATGCGGGTAAAGAACGCAGAAGTCCCGGGAATATCCTTCTCTACCTGATCCGTACCGCGTGTTGAAATTAGCCACAAGTTAGTTCATTGAGACTTCGGAGCGGTTGTTTCTCGAAAGATGGCGGAAATCGTACTTTTAATTTTTTTTTTTGAGACATTTATTTTCTGACTAGTTGGTAAAAGTTGATGATCTCAAACCTTCGTCTTCTTCATATTTACTGGGAGTCAAAGGCCAGTGAAAACTTATTACAACTGTCACTATTTCCCATTGAAAGTTACACAACTTTTGTTCTGAATTTTTGTTAATACAGAGAAAAAAAGATTATTTGAGAGTGAAATGAGAAGTATTTGCATGCAAAAATGCATGCTATTAAATTAATATCAGAAGCGCAATTAATTAGGAATGATGAAAATTTTAATTTTTAACAATTTATCAAATACAAAAACACTTTCAAATTTTTATTAAATTTCATTTGAAATTCTAATTAATAAAAATAATTAAATAAATTATGCTAAGAAAAGACTCATAAAGCTAAACGATATAATTTTAAATTTATTTATCGATCAGTTAGTTTAAAGAAAGAAAAAAATATTTTGGTAATTTGAAATGTTAATTTTAGTATGGTCGCAGTAGGACACAACGTCTTCTACGATATATCCTTCGACGAAAACAATGTACAATAATATTATTCGTGCAAATTGTTATCTTAATTATATTTATTATTATTTTCATCGCATTGTTTCACGCTACTGCTAATCTTAATGTTCGTTTTATTTTTAGACTATTTAAAAAATTATAATTTAATTTTTTTCCTTTGATTTTTATTTTACTTCATGAAATATCTTCTCTAAGATAACATTATCTATAAAGTGGATAATCATTTCTACATATAATAATTTATTTTTGCATATTCAAATTCATTTTTATAGTTGTTTTTTAGACGTTGTGTAATAATTATTTTAATTAGCTTAAACAAAAGGAAAACTGAAAAACTTTGATAGTATTATCTGTCATTGCAGAAAAAATATTCACGGTTAAGACATGAAAATGATATATTAGCTCAATATGAGAATTTTTCGACTTTCTTATCATGCAAATATCATCCGCCTGTTGAATATGATACTGTAAGAAATATTGTTTAGTTCAAATTTTTTAAATCTCAATGTATCCTGATGAATACTTTTTTTAATATCATTATGTAGAATTTTACAGTGTCAAGCGCCACGTCTAATTTAAGTAAGGTCGATTCCATTAAGCGTAAATAAGCAATTCCTAATTCAGGAAAGTTGACATCATCAACTATGTAAAGCAACTTTCGATTATCAACATTGTTTTAACTATACTTCATAATAAATTCATATACCATTTGAATTCGAGAATTATATTAGTTCATAATTTTGTTTGACAACAATTAAAACAACATTACAAATTTCTAACAAAAGTTTAAGATGAAAAGTTACAGTGACAATTTTGTTTTTTAGTCAGAGTGTGGATGGGCAAGCGATGAAACATCTTTTATAGTACGATACTATCGTCAACGTACTCACGAATGTGCGTCACGACTCGACATGGTCAATTGAATTAGCGCTTTCCGTTCATTTCATTTTGCTAATTAAATTTTTTATTAATTTGAAATCGATTTGCAATTAAATTTATTTTTCTGAAACTTACTGAATTGTTAAACTTGAGTTTACAATAATAGGAATTCTTGGCAGAGCTAGTTTCTTCTCATTTCTCTCATCCACACTGCATTAATTGTTTTTTTAATTAATTGCATTTATGAATTTCCAGACAGTATGAAGATATTGACTTTGTTATTTCCAGAAACCAAATTTTATTACTCCGAATTACGTGTAAGAGCCAGTAATTTTGATTGATTCAGATTCCATATAATTCGAAATACTCAATAATTTTAATTGATTTAGATTCCATGTAACCTGAAATATCCAGCATCATATAAATACTGGCAAAATATATTCAAAAAATTATTAAATAAAAATGACATTAAAAGCGAATATCGTCCTTGTCCAGGCATTTTCAATAATACCATCGGCGAGTATGGCATGTCCCCACAAACTTCAATTCTGGTAGTTTGCAAATTGAGATTTCATCCAGCTACTCACATCCATTTCATGTTAATAAAAAAAATTTTCTCCGGTTCTCTTTCCGCATTCTGAATCATTCTAAAAAGAATTTTAAAATTGAAAAATTTTGCACGGAAGATTATTCGTATTATGCCAATAATTATTAATATCATGTTTTTCCATTAGTTTAATTTATCCTCCAAAATTTTCTAATAAATTTTTAAATTTTTAAAATATGTTGGAAGAGAGAGAAAAAAAATTTGCAGGCACCGAAAATCAAAAATATGGATCGGTTCAATATACGATTTATGCTTCGTCCAAAAGATTTTATCATGCGTTGCCCGATCTGCATGATCAGCAGCAGATTTTCTTCGTAAGTTTATCTAGAATTATTCATTATCATTACAATCTCCTTTTGTGAGAGCAGACACATGCCGGATACAACCATAAGCAAACCTCCGGAAAAGTTTTCCCTGTACTAATCACCATCCTTCCGTTTTTGTTTCAAACATTTCTTATTCATTTCTTCGGGCGATTGCAATTTCTTAATTTCATTTTGCTTAGTGCAAATAGTGCAAATATTTTTTCCTTAGCATAAAAAGGACCGTATTCCATTCTTTTTATCATTGATCAAAAACTAAGTTTAAAATTTAAACTTTTTCATAATAATTTTTAGCTGTTTAATAATAATAATAATAATAATAATAATAATAATAATAATAATAA